TATATGAGGTTAGCACCAGTAGAGGCCTCAAATAATGGCTGACTATATGAGCAACATAGAGGCCTCAAATAATGGCTGACTATATGAGGTTAGCACCAGTAGAGGCCTCAAATAATGGCTGACTATATGAGCACCAGTAGAGGCCTCAAATAATGGCTGACTATATGAGGTTAGCACCAGTAGAGGCCTCAAATAATGGCTGACTATATGAGCACCAGTAGAGGCCTCAAATAATGGCTGACTATATGAGGTTAGCACCAGTAGAGGCCTCAAATAATGGCTGACTCTATGAGCACCAGTAGAGGCCTCAAATAATGGCTGACTATATGAGGTTAGCACCAGTAAAGGCCTCAAATAATGGCTGACTATATGAGCACCAGTAGAGGCCTCAAATAATGGCTGACTATATGAGGTTAGCACCAGTAGAGGCCTCAAATAATGGCTGACTATATGAGCACCAGTAGAGGCCTCAAATAATGGCTGACTATATGAGGTTAGCACCAGTAGAGGCCTCAAATAATGGCTGACTATATGAGGTTAGCACCAGTAGAGGCCTCAAATAATGGCTGACTATATGAGCACCAGTAGAGGCCTCAAATAATGGCTGACTATATGAGGTTAGCACCAGTAGAGGCCTCATATAATGGCTGACTATATGAGGTTAGCACCAGTAGAGGCCTCAAATAATGGCTGACTATATGAGGTTAGCACCAGTAGAGGCCTCATATAATGGCTGACTAAATGAGGTTAGCACCAGTAGAGGCCTCAAATAATGGCTGACTATATGAGCACCAGTAGAGGCCTCAAATAATGGCTGACTATATGAGGTTAGCACCAGTAGAGGCCTCAAATAATGGCTGACTATATGAGGTTAGCACCAGTAGAGGCCTCAAATAATGGCTGACTATATGAGCACCAGTAGAGGCCTCAAATAATGGCTGACTATATGAGGTTAGCACCAGTAGAGGCCTCAAATAATGGCTGACTATATGAGCACCAGTAGAGGCCTCAAATAATGGCTGACTATATGAGGTTAGCACCAGTAAAGGCCTCAAATAATGGCTGACTATATGAGGTTAGCACCAGTAGAGGCCTCAAATAATGGCTGACTATATGAGCACCAGTAGAGGCCTCAAATAATGGCTGGCTATATGAGGTTAGCACCAGTAGAGGCCTCATATAATGGCTGACTATATGAGCACCAGTAGAGGCCTCAAATATATATATTTGAGGCCTCTACTGGTGCTAACCTAATATACAGCCATTATTTGAGGCCTCTACTGGTGCTAACCTCATATATCCAGCCATTATTTGAGGCCTCTTCTGGTGCTAACCTCATATAGTCAGCCATTATTTGAGGCCTCTTCTGGTGCTCATATAGTCAGCCATTATTTGAGGCCTCTACTGGTGCTAACCTCATATAGTCAGCCATTATTTGAGGCCTCTACTGGTGCTCATATAGTCAGCCATTATATGAGGCCTCTACTGGTGCTAACCTCATATAGTCAGCCATTATTTGAGGCCTCTACTGGTGCTCATATAGTCAGCCATTATTTGAGGCCTCTACTGGTGCTCATATAGTCAGCCATTATTTGAGGCCTCTACTGGTGCTCATATAGTCAGCCATTATTTGAGGCCTCTACTGGTGCTCATATAGTCAGCCATTATTTGAGGCCTCTACTGGTGCTAACCTCATATAGTCAGCCATTATTTGAGGCCTCTACTGGTGCTCATATAGTCAGCCATTATTTGAGGCCTCTACTGGTGCTCATATAGTCAGCCATTATTTGAGGCCTCTACTGGTGCTCATATAGTCAGCCATTATTTGAGGCCTCTACTGGTGCTCATATAGTCAGCCATTATTTGAGGCCTCTACTGGTGCTAACCTCATATAGTCAGCCATTATTTGAGGCCTTTACTGGTGCTAACCTCATATAGTCAGCCATTATATGAGGCCTCTACTGGTGCTAACCTCATATAGTCAGCCATTATTTGAGGCCTCTACTGGTGCTCATATAGTCAGCCATTATTTGAGGCCTCTACTGGTGCTAACCTCATATAGTCAGCCATTATTTGAGGCCTCTACTGGTGCTCATATAGTCAGCCATTATTTGAGGCCTCTACTGGTGCTCATATAGTCAGCCATTATTTGAGGCCTCTACTGGTGCTAACCTCATATAGTCAGCCATTATTTGAGGCCTCTACTGGTGCTAACCTCATATAGTCAGCCATTATTTGAGGCCTCTACTGGTGCTAACCTCATATAGCCAGCCATTATTTGAGGCCTCTACTGGTGCTCATATAGTCAGCCATTATTTGAGGCCTCTACTGGTGCTCATATAGTCAGCCATTATTTGAGGCCTCTACTGGTGCTAACCTCATATAGTCAGCCATTATTTGAGGCCTCTACTGGTGCTCATATAGTCAGCCATTATTTGAGGCCTCTACTGGTGCTAACCTCATATAGTCAGCCATTATTTGAGGCCTCTACTGGTGCTAACCTCATATAGTCAGCCATTATTTGAGGCCTCTATGTTGCTCATATAGTCAGCCATTATTTGAGGCCTCTATGTTGCTCATATAGTCAGCCATTATTTGAGGCCTCTACTGGTGCTAACCTCATATAGTCAGCCATTATTTGAGGCCTCTACTGGTGCTAACCTCATATAGTCAGCCATTATTTGAGGCCTCTATGTTGCTCATATAGTCAGCCATTATTTGAGGCCTCTACTGGTGCTCATATAGTCAGCCATTATTTGAGGCCTCTACTGGTGCTAACCTCATATAGTCAGCCATTATTTGAGGCCTCTACTGGTGCTCATATGGCTGACTATATGAGGTTAGCACCAGTAGAGGCCTCAAATAATGGCTGACTATATGAGGTTAGCACCAGTAGAGGCCTCAAATAATGGCTGACTATATGAGGTTAGCACCAGTAGAGGCCTCAAATAATGGCTGACTATATGAGCACCAGTAGAGGCCTCAAATAATGGCTGACTATATGAGGTTAGCACCAGTAGAGGCCTCAAATAATGGCTGACTATATGAGCACCAGTAGAGGCCTCAAATAATGGCTGACTATATGAGCACCAGTAGAGGCCTCAAATAATGGCTGACTATATGAGCACCAGTAGAGACCTCATATAATGGCTGACTATATGAGCACCAGTAGAGGCCTCAAATAATGGCTGACTATATGAGGTTAGCACCAGTAGAGACCTCATATGATGGCTGACTATATGAGCACCAGTAGAGGCCTCAAATAATGGCTGACTATATGAGGTTAGCACCAGTAGAGGCCTCAAATAATGGCTGACTATATGAGCACCAGTAGAGGCCTCAAATAATGGCTGACTATATGAGGTTAGCACCAGTAGAGGCCTCAAATAATGGCTGACTATATGATGTTAGCACCAGTAGAGGCCTCAAATAATGGCTGACTATATGAGCACCAGTAGAGGCCTCAAATAATGGCTGGCTATATGAGGTTAGCACCAGTAGAGGCCTCAAATAATGGCTGACTATATGAGGTTAGCACCAGTAGAGGCCTCAAATAATGGCTGACTATATGAGCACCAGTAGAGGCCTCAAATAATGGCTGACTATACGAGGTTAGCACCAGGAATGGCTAAAGGTTAGGGAAGAAATAATCCTCATATAAATTGCGCAGTTAAGCCGACCACTCCTTACCCGACTACAACAATTACGTCATACACAGCTCACATGTTTCATCACTGTCATCTTTGTTATGTTATTGTCAAACTGTCAAATCTTGACAAAATCGTCACCTTGTTATGTTATTGTCCAACCGTCAAACATGTTCTGGACAAAATGAAATTGTTGTCTTACTTTTCCTCCCTCACACAATGCTTACCCACAGACGTAGGCCTACTCAGACGACAGTTTATTGACAAATCTTACCACTACACTATAGCAAAAATATCTGTAACTGAAAAAAAATAATTCAAACTTACAAAAAGATTTTATGACCTAAACTTAGTCATCGAATTGTTACTCAATCTATTTCGCTTCGTAGTTTATGTAAATATAATTTCTGTAGGCAATTTTCACATTTTTAATGCTTTTTAAAATGAATATCTTCAATATGCTGTTTTATTCATGTCTCTAATATCCTTGTTACCAGCTGCCCATGTGAAAAATGTGCTAGTGGACTCTGTAATGGTTAGGGCCTACAAGATGCAGGCCTATACAGCGTCACAAGGCGGGGCGGGGTGGGTGCGGTCTGTACCAGGTGACCCAGTTTAGGGGGTGACACCAATTAGAAAATTTTTCTGTCAAGACAAATGTTTTCTCTAGCTAAAATAATAAGCTTGTAGTAGGCGTGTGGAAAACTCAGTTACAACAACTAGTGGCGCCCCTGTGTGTGTATGTATATGTTCATATATATATATATATATATATATATATATATATATATATATATATATATATATATATATATATATAGCCTAAATATTTTAGATGTTGACACATATGTATATATAATATAGGGCCTACACATTTTCAATGCTAACTACAAAGTAATAACGCAAATAAGGTTTCAGCTTAAAGTATAAATGATTAATCTGTAATAAACCTTTAGAAGCTTTCCCCTCAGTATGTTTATAAACCCTCCTTTTAATAATCTAGAGTTCACTGTATGGATTGGATAAGGCCTGTCTGATTGCTTTCCATATTTTCAAATATAAATAATAAACGATACTTGATAGTCAATATTCTGCGTAGTTTGGACAAATCATTAGTTAAAGAAAGATAACCTAACATTTATTTGTAAATTTAAAATAGTATGGATTACAGCCCTTGGACTATAAAAAACGTAAAATTGATTTTTATAAAAAAATTTATAATAGTATTTAATAGGCCCTATAAATTAAACCAAGTTTAAAAATCAGCAGATGGGCAACATCAGTCACACACCACCAGTCACACAGACATGAGCAGAACAACTAAAAAAATAAACATGTAGAACAAGCCTTCACTTGGGTGACAAAAAATTTATTTTAAAAAAATCCATTTTCATGGAATGTTTGTATTTGAACCCTATTTGACTAACCCATGTTTGCAAGTTGGGTGTTCAACATTTGTAAACATTTTTGGCATTGTTTTTTTTTTCTCATAAAATCTCCACAATTATCTCTCACAGTAAACATCAAGAGTACGCACTAGAACAAAAAAAAAAACTGGAACCAACACAACAGCAATAAACACCACCAATAATACTGGGAGTTCTAGCAACAACATGGAAATTGTGTCATAGCACAAATATGTACAAGAAATATTGGTCCACTTTCTGTTCACCAAACCATACAGCTCCATTACCACAAAGTTTAAACTACACGCACAAAAATTGTCTGAATGAAACAGGCCACTATACAGTGGCTAAATGAGATTCCTGGCTTTTTTATTTTAAAAAATGTAAAATAATAATTTAAAAATGCTTTGCAACAAAGATATAATAATATACCTGAGGTGTTTAAAATATTGCAACATTAAAAAAACTTTTTAGGATTATTGTCATGTGTGAGGGCATAGTTAAACAATTGCCAGCTGATTTATTTGCTGTCTGGGGAGGAGGGCTGGTGCTTGGTCTCATGAGAATCTCTGTCACTGCCAGGACCTGTGGGCAGATTGGGCAGGTTTTAATGGTACATTCAGTTCTCTAATACACCTCTATACTCAATTTAATTTTGTTTCCTGCTAGTTATGTGTGAATGGTGCCCCAGTCCCGCTAGTTATGTGTGAATGGTGCCCCAGTCCTGCTAGTTATGTGTGAATGGTGCCCCAGTCCTGCTAGTTATGTGTGAATGGTGCCCCTGTCCTGCTAGTTATGTGTGAATGATGCCCCAGTCCTGCTAGTTATGTGTGAATGGTGCCCCAGTCCTGCTAGTTATGTGTGAATGGTGCCCCTGTCCTGTCCCGCTAGTTATGTGTGAATGGTGCCCCAGTCCTGCTAGTTATGTGTGAATGATGCCCCAGTCCTGCTAGTGAATTAGACTTACCAGCAAACTGACTGTAAGGTTCATAAAGTGCATGACTTTCTTGCTGGTTTCCAAACTGTCCCATTGTTGGCTGACCATACTGACCCATGGGTGGTGCAGACAGGAGGGGGTAGGGATGGGGGTGGCTCATGTAGGGAGGGAAGTGAGGCATGGGATTACCCCCATACTGCTGAGGTGGGACATCCCCAGGGTTGGGGTGGGCAGGTAGGCATGGATGTATAGCTGGTCCATGTGTGGGGGTGGGGGGGTCTTGGCTTGTGAACTGGGGCAGGCTGGGGACCTGTTGTGAGAGGGGGTGGGGGTGGTCCTGGCTAGCTGCTAGCTGACCAGCATGGCTGTCAGGTGTGGGGGCATCAGCTGCTGAGTGGGGTGATGGGCTGGGTGTGGAGGAGGGGGCAGAGGTTTGAATTGTTTTCACTTCTGCCGTAGAGGAGGAGGGTACAGAACAGGGCATGGAATTAGGGGTAGGGGAGCTGGGATGTGGGGTGGGGGAGTTTTGAGATACTTGAGTGGCTTGAACCTGGTGGAAGTTAAAATTTAATGTAGTTGCATTAAAAAATATCCTACACGTTTTATTGTCCATATAATTTTTTTAATAAAGCAGCTACTCTGAAGAAGCTCCCCCCTCCCCTGTGCTTGTCTGGCCGGCAGAAGACGCAAAGCGCAATGACCTTAATAGATGCGCCATTGGCTTAAATTAAATATTATTGATAGTCTCAAGTTAACAATATTATTCTTTAAAGCTGCGCAATGGGATCAATTTTCCTTTTTAACCTTATTCTTCTGACAAAACTAGCAGTACCATGTGTTCGAGCAGTTACACTTCAGGCGGGTCATCATGGGATGAGGTTTATAGTATAGTTATAGTATATCTAGTAGAGAGTTCTAGTCTATAAGTTAAGTATAAAAAAAAAAAATCTATTTGAATAGCCAATTTAAATCTACTATTTAAGTATTTAATGAGTTAATCCCTGTCTCATCAAGACAACACAGAGGCCTAAACACCAAACATTTAGATAATAAGAAACAACAGGTCATTGTAACGTTATGTGCATCTTCCGGCTAGAGTCTGCCAAATGTTAAAGGTAGGTAAACTAACCTGAGGTCCTTGTGGTGGCATGGGGGAGCCATGCATGACGTAGTTCTGGCTGACCTCCGGCTGAGTGTGGGACCCCAGGATGCTGGCTATGGAATGTGGTCCCTCAGGGTGGTGCTGCCTGGTGTCCACCAGCTGCTGACTGGCCACCTGTCTGGCTCTGTACTCCGCTGCACGCATCTGCTCCATGTGGAACTGTTGCCTCTCCTGCAGCAGTAGCTGGCGCTGGAGCTCCAGCTAAGACATGAACCAAGTTACAAGTGGGAAGACAACATACAGTACACCTGTCCCACCCAACACAGGACACACCCACCTGTCCTATCCAGTACAGAACACACCTGTCCTACCCAACACAGGACACACCTGTCCTACCCAACACAGGACACACCTGTCCTACCCAACACAGGACACACCCACCTGTCCCACCCAACACAGGACACACCCACCTGTCCCACCCAACACAGGACACACCTGTCCTACCCAACACAGGACACACCCACCTGTCCCACCCAACACAGGACACACCTGTCCTACCCAACACAGGACACACCCACCTGTCCCACCCAACACAGGACACACCTGTCCCACACACACCTGTCCTACCCAACACAGGACACACCTGTCCTACCCAACATAGGACCCTACCTACCCAGCAGATAAAAAAACAACTTACAGACTCCCTCTCCTTATCCATGATGGACTCTATCTCCTCAAAGTGTCTGAGCTTAATCTCCAGCTTCTTCATCTGAGTTTCCACCAAGAGGGCGACCAGACCTTTAATCTTCCTCTCCTCCACGGCAGCCAGGTGCTGGGGGAAAACATGTCAGTCAGTCACCAGATGATGCTTGTTGGTTCAGCTTCACAGTGCTACCTGTTACATAGTGCTAACTGTCCTGTCACAAAGTGCTACCTGTCAACTACTTGTCCTGTCACACAGTGCTACCTATTACATAGTGCTACCTGTCCTGTCACAAAGTGCAACCTGTCAACTACATGTCCTGTCACACAGTGCTACCTGTTACATAGTGCTACCTGTCCTGTCACACAGTGCTACCTGTCTTGTCACACAGTGCTACCTGTTACATAGTGCTACCTGTCCTGTCACAAAGTGCTACCTGTCAACTACTTGTCCTGTCACACAGTGCTACCTATTACATAGTGCTACCTGTCCTGTCACACAGTGCTACCTGTCTTGTCACACAGTGCTACCTGTTACACAGTGCTACCTGTCCTGTCACACAGTGCTACCTGACCTGTCACACAGTGCTACCTGTTACACAGTGCTACCTGTCCTGTCACACAGTGCTACCTGACCTGTCACACAGTGCTACCTGTCCTGTCACACAGTGCTACCTGACCTGTCCTTTCACACAGTGCTACTTGTCCTGTCACACAGTGCTACCTGACCTGTCCTTTCACACAGTGCTACCCATCCTGTCACACAGTGCTACCTGTCCTGTCAAACAGTGCTACCTGTCCTGCCACACAGTGCTACTTGTCCTGTCACACAGTGCTACTTGTCCTGTCACACAGTGCTACCTGTCCTGTCACACAGTGCTACCTGTCAACTACCTGTCCTGTCACACAGTGTTACCTGTCCTGTCACACAGTGCTACCTGTCAACTACCTCTCCTGTCACACAGTGCTACCTGTCAACTACCTCTCCTGTCACACAGTGCTACCTGTCCTGTCACACAGTGCTACCTGTCCTGTCACACAGTGCTACCTGTCCTCTGCCCAGTGCTACCTGACCTGTCACACAGTGCTACCTGTCAACTACCTCTCCTGTCACACAGTGCTACCTGTCCTGTCACACAGTGCTACCTGTCATCTACCTGTCCTGACACACAGTGCTACCTGTCCTGTCACACAGTGCTACCTGTCCTGTCACACAGTGCTACCTGACCTGTCCTTTCACACAGTGCTACCCATCCTGTCACACAGTGCTACCTGTCCTGTCACACAGTGCTACCTGTCCTGCCACACAGTGCTACTTGTCCTGTCACACAGTGCTACCTGACCTGTCCTGTCACACAGTGCTACCTGACCTGTCCTGTCACACAGTGCTACCCATCCTGTCACACAGTGCTACCTGTCCTGTCACACAGTGCTACCTGTCCTGTCACACAGTGCTACCTGTCCTGTCACACAGTGCTACCTGTCAACTACCTGTCCTGTCACACAGTGCTACCTGTCAACTACCTGTCCTGTCACACAGTGCTACTTGTCCTGTCACACAGTGCTACCTGTCCTGTCACACAGTGCTACCTGTCAACTACCTGTCCTGTCAAACAGTGTTACCTGTCCTGTCACACAGTGCTACCTGTCAACTACCTGTCCTGTCACACAGTGCTACCTGTCAACTACCTGTCCTGTCACACAGTGCTACTTGTCCTGTCACACAGTGCTACCTGTACTGCCACACAGTGCTACCTGTTTACTACCTGTCCTGCCACACAGTGCTACCTGTCAACTACCTGTCCTGTCACACAGTGCTACTTGTCCTGTCACACAGTGCTACCTGTCCTGCCACACAGTGCTACCTGTCCTGCCACACAGTGCTACCTGTCAACTACCTGTCCTGCCACACAGTGCTACCTGTCAACTACCTGTCCTGTCACACAGTGCTACCTGTCCTGCCACACAGTGCTACCTGTCAACTACCTGTCCTGTCACACAGTGCTACCTGTCCTGCCACACAGTGCTACCTGTCAACTACCTGTCCTGTCACACAGTGCTACCTGTCCTGCCACACAGTGCTACCTGTCAACTACCTGTCCTGCCACACAGTGCTACCTGTCAACTACTTGTCCTGTCACACAGTGCTACCTGTCCTGCCACACAGTGCTACCTGTCCTGTCACACAGTGCTACCTGTCCTGCCACACAGTGCTACCTGTCCTGTCACACAGTGCTACCTGTCCTGCCACACAGTGCTACCTGTCCTGTCACACATTGCTACCTGTCCTGTCACACACAGTGCTACCTGTCCTGTCACAGTGCTACCTGTCACTGACCTTGGCCTTGACAGCAGCTGAAGCTAGAGCTGCAGCAGCTGCTGTGGAGACAACAGAATCTTCTGATCCAAAGCTCTTATCTTCTGGCTGTGTCTTGTCCTCTTTTGGCTCTTCAACAACCTCTACCTCGTTATCCTGCATCAGTTCAGGGAGAAAATTAATTGTTTAGATTAGAAGGATTAACTCCATTAGGACTGATGGATCAGATAGTAGATTAACTCCATTAGGACTGATGGGTCAGATAGTAGATTAACTCCATTAGGACTGATGGGTCAGATAGTAGATTAACTCCATTAGGACAGATGGGTCAGATATTAGATTAACTCCATTAGGACAGATGGGTCAGATAGTAGATTAACTCCATTAGGACTGATGGGTCAGATAGTAGATTAACTCCATTAGGACAGATGGGTCAGATAGTAGATTAACTCCATTAGGACTGATGGGTCAGATATTAGATTAACTCCATTAGGACTGATGGGTCAGATAGTAGATTAACCCCACCAGGGGTAATACCTGAGGGACTATTTAAGCAGACATGAACTAACCTGGGTCTTCTTTTCTTCTTTCTTAGAATCTTTTTTCTTGTCTTTCTTCTTATCTTTCCCTTTCTTTTCATCCTTTTTGGTTTGAGTACCATCAGTTTCCATGGATTCCTCCTGGTAATGCAACAGGTGAATAGATCGTTAGCCAGGTGTCTCATTAGTACGGGATTAATAATGTCATGCAATTTTATGTAGATTGTTACAATAAGTCACAAATATAGCAAGTAATGTATCACAAACATGACAGTCCCATCCCACCAAGAAAACTTACTTTATCTTCTTCATTTTTCTCATCTTTGTCATCATCCTGTTCATCGGTCTCATCACACACAACTTCTGAAGGGAGATAAAACATTTCCAACTTCAGTACAGAAAATAAAAATATAATAATACAAATATAATTCATATTACATTAACATTATTAAATCAATTTTTTTTAGAATGTTTAAATAACACTTAACATGAAAGACTTGAAAATGAAAAAGACAGTCAACAAACCAACTAACCTGTGATGCCACAGTCAACAAACCAACTAACCTGTGATGCCACAGTCAACAAACCAACTAACCTGTGATGCCACAGTCAACAAACCAACTAACCTGTGCCTGTCAACAAACCAACTAACCTGTGCCTATCAACAAACCAACTAACCTGTGCCTGTCAACAAACCAACTAACCTGTCATGCCACAGTCAACAAACCAACTAACCTGCGATGCCACAGTCAACAAACCAACTAACCTGTGATGCCACAGTCAACAAACCAACTAACCTGTGATGTCACAGTCAACAAACCAACTAACCTGTGATGCCACAGTCAACAAACCAACTAACCTGTGATGCCACAGTCAACAAACCAACTAACCTGTGATGCCACAGTCAACAAACCAACTAACCTGTGATGTCACAGTCAACAAACCAACTAACCTGTGATGCCACAGTCAACAAACCAACTAACCTGTGATGCCACAGTCAACAAACCAACTAACCTGTGCCTGTCAACAAACCAACTAACCTGTGCCTGTCAACAAACCAACTAACCTGTGCCTGCGATGCCACTTTTCTCCAGCCCAAAAGTTGGTTCAACGACCTTTCCATCTTTGCTGGCACTGACAACAGTTTTGGTATGAGCGTCCACAATAGAAGGTGGGATCTCATCTTTTATTTTAGAGAATTCCTCTGGAGAAAGTTTACAGAAGCCACTTAAGAATTAGATGTTTTTCATTCAATTTGTTGTATTTAAATACAAACTAGCCTGTCATATAATTTCTCAGTAGAACTTTTACATAAGATATGTATTTCCTAACTTAAACTTAAGTGTTGAAGAATTTAATGAGCTAGCATAAAACCTTGTAACTAATTTTCTATTGATGAAATAATCAATTTTATTTTACTACTAATGAAAAAAGATTCTATAATAAAAGATTGAAATTAAAATGATTCATCAAGCAAATGGAATTAAAAGGTAAAATATTATTGGACCCCAAGTATGTAGTTATGATCTTAAGAGTTAATAAAACACTTATTTTATCAGTTATGGGTTATGCAAATGATCAACATATCTTTAAAATAATAATTCAGCTTAATACCCGGAAAGTCAATTTTAGCAAATGAGTTTATCCATAAATAGAACCTGACAGAGAAAAGAAAGAGAACAAACCTAAGGCTGCCTTAGCTGCTGCACTAGCTACTCTAGGGTCAACAACTGATGCCAGGAATGCCACCGTGGACATGATAGGGTTGCCACTTTTTGAGAATGGGATCGGCTGATACACCAGGGGACCTGCAAAACAATCACGGTCAGATAGACATTTAATTTTTTAAATCTTTTAAAGGTAGCCATTTTTCAAAAATTTACTTTACAACATTAGAATTTAAAAAAAAAAAAAAATCAAAACACTATAAGCACAAGATGGTATATTTCTAAAAAAGCTGTACCTGCGTTATCGTTGATGTCAAGGTATGGATCCTCTATTGGCAACCTGAGGAAGTGTAGGATACACTCGTCCTGCGTCCTGCTGCCCACATGCTCACACACCTTGTTCCAGTCATCTTTGTACAGCTCTAGAGCCTCCAGCATCAGGAGGGTCTCTTGGTCAGACCATTCACGGCTTCGCATGGAAGAATTCTTATCCTGTCCAACATTGTTATAGGGAGATGAAACACAACAAATGTTAGAAGATTGTGGGGGCTGTGTTGGGGTCTGTCAAAGCACTAGGAAAAAAAGATGCTAAAACAATATCAGTCTAAGCCTACACTTACCTTGACTGGCTTCTTGCAATAGATGTCTGTCTTTAACCCCAATGAACCCAGTTCTCGCTTCTCATCTTCCTCTGGCTTTTTCTCTGGAAATTCACAGATTTCTTGGGCAGCAGAGGGCTAAAAATATAATTGGAAAATGTTAGTGTATTAATATTAGTTGTAAGGAGATTAAAAAAATATTTTAGGAAAATATAGGATTGATTTTTTTGTAACACCCTTGAAAACGTATTAAGATTTTGACTAAAATAGATGTATAAATGTTGTAGCCTTTGATATAAATGTCTTCGGGGATAAGAATACGGACCTGGTTAAGTCGTGGTGGGTTGACTGGTGCAATGCCTGATGGTGTGTCTGCCAAGATGTGGAAATGTGAGGTGGAGGGTGGGCCCATAACTGTTGGGTGACTCTCAGAGTCCACCTGGTAGTTGAGGAGGCCCCACTGTTCCAAAAATGCATGAACACTAAGGGAAAAAATAACATCAGGGTTTATTATTGAACATAATGGTACACACATGAGTACATCTGTACATGGCTTCATGCTATGCTGACTTATTGCACACAACGGTACACAGATGAGTACATCAGTAAGTGGCTCCATGCTATTGTGACTTACCGCAAGAGACAGCACACATCTCCAGCCAGATTCCTCCTTACAGCTGTAGATGTCAAATATTCTGTTGGGTTCAATCTGTATGTGTCTATCATAAAGTTACGATAGGCAACATATCTGAAAGGTTCAAATAATTTAATTGAATCAGATGAATTAGAAGTTCAGGTACATTCAAATGACAACTATCCAGAGATTATTGAAATAAATGATACAGATTTAAAAATATAAAAAAGAAGAAAACAAACATTTCAGGTGTCTTTGATTTGTTCTTGCCATTGAAAAACTCTGGCATTGCTCTCCTCTCAATGGCATGGATAGAATTATAGTCAAACCAAGCCGTGTAGCTGGGCACTATGATGTGATGTGTTTGTTCTGTCAACGTATCATCCCCTGCCTCCACTACGTATGTCTTCTCCTCCTCATCTTTTACCGGGGTCGACTCAACATCTTCTTGTCTGTCTTTGTCAGCCTGTTCATACACACACAGAATTAACCGTGAAAATAAGGACTGTTTAAACATACAAACTTACTAGGAAAATAAACAATGAATGTCTTGATCACAAACAAACTACAACTCAGGATGGGAGCAGAACCTTGTACAGATGTCATGGCACTACAACTTAAATCTGGCACAGCAAACTAGACTGACCTTCTCACTCTGTTGCTCATCTAAATCCATCATGGTCCCTCCCTTTAGTGGGGTGAACTCATCTTTACCATTCTTTGTTGAACAACCTGTGGGACAAAACATTCAAGCATGTCGAATTTTATTTGATTAAAACTAGCGAGGCTTATTAAAAATCAGCCAAAGTAGTGAGTAGAGTAGACAGCACATTTAAATTATTTTTTTAAATTACGTGTAAATACCTTGCTTAGGATTGTGGACCTCTGGGATGCTAATCTCTGACTGAATATCATCCATATCTTTTGTGCTGTCTTCATCATCTTCTTCCCATTTTTTCTTCTTGCTGGCTACAATAGCTGCAGTCCTTGAACTGAAAACAAGAATATTTTTCATGCTTGAAATGTAGCTTTAGTATCATATCACCATAACACTACATACCAGTATTGCTATAGAATCACCACGAAACTACAGATCTCTATAGCTATATATTCACAATGAACAACATACCTTTTTCTCTTGGACTTTTCTGGAGGAGGGGAGGGTGACCTTCTAGTTTTAGAGGCTTTGACTTTACTTCCACTGCCCTTTTTAGGACGAGGAGTTTTCTCAGCATCATTTGGCTCACGATTCTGAAAGATTGAGTTAATGGTTATGGAAATTTTCCCCCCTCCAGTATCATCATTATCATGTCAATTTAGTTGCACAACTTTGCAGACATCTTTCAAAAATAAGCATTTCTTTCAATAAATTTAGATGAGCTTATTAAAATAAAATTTCAATCAAACAACAAAACTAAAATTTAACTCTGCTTCTACTACCAACTTTTCAAACTAGATCTAACTAATAACTAAACTAAATCTAGACTTAGGCCTACATTTAACTACATTACAATCTAATATCAAGATTTTTAAGACTCAGATTTGCTATTTGTTAAACTAACTACCCTTGTATATTGCTCAGTGTGTGTTGCTGCACTACGAATGTTATTATTATAATATTAGTTCTAGATTCTAGTCTTCTTTGACTTTACACTACTAACACTAGGACTACTATACTACTATGACAGACACTCGGTTTTTGTGATTAACTACTGTTTATTTCAAACTCAAACTAACTTACTAGATCTAACTATTAACTAAGTTACTAGGCCTAACTAAACTAAAAAAAAAACCTTTGGGTAGGCCCTAGCCCTAGTACTAGATCTAGGAGTAGTAGTTAGGTACTTAACTAAAAAATTATAAATGCTAGTCAATATTACCAAATGCATCTAAGTTTTTAATTAGCAAGATCGGTAATCACAACGTAGCGTTATTCAATCAAATTGTCTAGCTAGAGGCTCTATCGTACAGATCGACACAAGTTTTCTTTCTTATGAGAGTAACTATTAATAGATATGTTGAAGAGGAGGGGAGAGAATATGGTGCAAAAATGTACTTGTTGGATATTCGTTACTGCTGAATTGATTACTCCATACATAAATTAAATGTACATTTATTATAACATGAAACAAAATATTAAAGCAAACAATTACCTTTTTGCTACTTTTAGGTTGCGAATTACTGACAGAACTGAAATGGCCTGCATTTTCTTGAGGATGAGACTCAAAATATTTACCATCATGAGTTCCTTCTTTCTTTTTTTGGAGCGCCATTTTGACTACAATGCGGCGGTCGCTCCTATTGCCAAAAGGAAACATTAAAATAAAATCACTGTTATTACCTTTTTTTTTCGGGCAGTCTTGTTATCCCATTTTAAAAATCTTTGCATTAAAAAATATAATGATTTTTAATCTCTTGATTCCGTCGTATACTTTAAAAACTATAGGTTTATAAAATAAACAGATTTGTTGATAAACCTATTACTGAGTATTATAGGTCTACTTGTTTTATGAATAGGCTTACCGAAAGAGATAGGCCTACACATTGTTCGAGATATGTACAGTATTGTACAGGGTCTTAATAGCGAATATTTGATTAAAATAAATAGATGCTTTCTAATTAACGCAGCTTTATTTGAAAATAACGTTTTATAACCTGACTAAAACTATAAGCCTAGCTTACTTATATACTACTTGAGGGTGTGGTTGGGTGGTAGATGGCTCGACGCCCCCCCCCCCCACACACACACGTTAGGGAAAATTTGAGGCGACAGGCCATAGTTTTCAAGGGCATAGTGGTCAAGAAACATGAACTCTACTTTTTTATTTGCATAGAAAGTGTTAAATGCACAAAATTACGTCTCGCTGCACGCTCTTTGCATTATCAGGAACTAATTCGTTATCTAGCTTATTATTTCAGGGCGCAACTTGTATCATCTTTTTAACAAGTTATCTAGGCCCTACTTATCCTACTGCTCCTTTTGGCGTTGTACTAATGGGGGTGGTAGTGAGAAGGGTCGATCAGGGTTTGTCTGTTAATGGCGGCAAACACCCAAAATTTGAGTTGTGTTTATCATGACGCTGAGCGACGTGTGACTAGAAATTCTGCTAGTTTTTGTTTCATTGTCAACATTTTAGTAGTCTGGTGTAAATGGGACATTATAAACATCGCGAGATTCTTTCATTAGCTAAACATCAGCATTGTGTTATAACGGTAGGATGGTGCCTTCTGATTTGTTTACAGCTTTGACGTCATAAGTGATGCTATCAATCCAAGTGGTCAGGAACACGATCTTCACGTTCAGTTAAATGTGTTTTTGTTTATTTCCTACCACATTGTCACAAAACGTCATCAACACCAACAAAAGTGAAGTACAGAACTTAGTTGAGATCCTAATAAATACACCCTAGGAAACGTTCAGTCTCCATCTAAAATTAACTGAGTTGTTTCCCTTCAACCTTGGGCTTCATGGTGAAAAGAATCAGGAGCTTAAGGATATCCTCAGTAGAATGGAAGGACCAGGAGTGTGGATGACTGTGACATTATACATATATCTCAACATATATATACCAATAACAATAAAAAGAAAACAAACACATTTTTTTTCTTCTTCTCACAAAGAAAAGTTTATAAATAAATGTAATAATCAAATATGTGTTAGTAAGAACCATATCAATTGCTCATAAAACACCATACAACACCAATTGAGTGAATAAAAATATATTTTTAAATCAAACAGAACATGAAACATTGTATCAATACTTGACCTGATGAACACACCATTGGAAGATACTAAAAAGATCTAATACAAACAGAATAATAATTATTCATTTAATATTCTTATATGGAACTATTAAATCATTTTCTCTTCAGCTGTAACATACAGTCTCAGTCACTGATCAGTCTTGAGGTTTTTCAAAGCATTGTTGTTTCATGAACTGTTCTCAGAACTGAATCACAATTGATTGGATTTCATTAAATTGGAAAATTTAAACTACACACCTTTTCCATTTTTTTAAATATATAATGGTCAATTGCATTCAACATACACACACTCATTTTAGTTGCACTCAAAATACATAAATGTATTTTTTTAATTGGACATGAAAGTAGTCTGTAAATGTTTAGTTAAACTTGTGAGTTACTGATAGTATTTGTTAACAAAATGTGTAGTCTGCAACAAAAAATTGTGTGCTTGATAAGAAATGAGAATGGCAACCAAAATGTTAGAATAATGTTCCCGTCTTAATGCAAGATACCAACAAGTGTTTTGTAAATATGAAATTACTAACACGATCGCGAAAGGTTACCTTTGTTTAATACTTTTGAACAGCGGTTTCCAAACTTTTTGTCACTGCGTCCCCCTACAAAAACCAAAAAATCATGGAACCTCCATACTCCACATTATTCTACTAAATGTCTGATTTCTACCCATGTTATTTTAGCTTTTACTACAGAATTTTAAAAAAATACAGATTGTAAATTTCTGTAAAACCTGTTGTGTCTTTTCTAGTCTGCACTTACCCCGAGTTTGGAATCGGCTGTTTTAGAAATTTACTAAGAAAAAATGTCTGAATTAAAAATACATTGTAGTGAGATATATATATATATTTCAACACTGAAAATTTGATCATGGTATAAATGCAACAAACAACAAAACCATTAGCTTCTAAGTGTAAGGCTTCCAATGACATTGTTTGTAGTTCTAGTTCTATCGAAACATCTGTAAAATGCAAAACAAAAAGTCCTCAAAATGTGATGAAAAATGCTCGCCTGCGAGATTATCTTTGTGATAGTTGAGCACATAATAAGCAATGGTAAATTGAATACAAAACTAAGGAATGGAGTAGCTCCTCCAAACACTTCTCTGACATGGTAGACAGTGTTTTTAGATCAAATAAATCAGTAAGGGACTTGTCCCACAAAATAATTTTATTGATTTTTACATTTTCTGGTATTTAGAGAAACCAAAGCAAATTTTATAACTAATTCTAAATGTTAACTTGAATGAATGAGCATGATCAACTCAGTGGCTTCACTATTGGTGCAGGGCTGAAACCATTTTTATTTTTTGCTATCTTGAAAATGTAGCTTGACAAAATAATTTAAAAAAAAAAAAAAATGTTGTACTTAAGAAAAAAAAAGCGTCTTATTTTTATTGAAAGTGTGAGTGGATTCATGACACTTCAGTTGTGATGCTAATCACTTAGTGAAGCCACTGAGTTAAAATAAATCTTTGATTGTTCAGGCACATAAGAACAGCACAATTAGCCTAAAAACCAGTTGAGCCACCAGAAAATGCAACTGTGTCAATATCATACATGTGCAATGCAGGTTACCATGTGGTATCACATCTATTCAGTTCTTAAATATTTCATTTAACACATAGTAGAAGTAAAAAAACAACATTAAAAACTTTGAAATATAAATAAATTATTGTTCATGTTACAAAATGGTTATGGCAGACTAAACAATTTTTTGAAAAATTCAAATTTTTAAACCATAAATTAAATACTAATTTTAAAAATTTGGAATTGTTTATAATTTTAAAAAATGGCAGCGCACATGCTTAAAGTCATGATATATTAAAAAAAAAACAACTAGTTTTTGTTGATTAATAAGAAGTGAGAAAAAAAATTACATCCAATCTGTAACTACTGACACTGACAGAAAGCAATGGACTAACAAGAGCTTTTCAAAAATAAAGGCACATGAAATGGTTCATCTAAATATCCTAACACTGGCAGACATAATGTGTCAAACATGCACAATTAAAGTTATAAAATAGCATAAATTGATGAAGAAATATATTTGTATGGATTATTATGGCTTAAAAAATAAAAAACTCCTATTGTATTGCAATGTTTACAACGTAAAAAAAAACTGTTCTAACAAATGGAAAATAAATCTTTTTCAAAATTTTAACATTTACAGCATAAGATGAAGAAAAACCTGATCAGCTTACAACTGGAAGTGATTTGTTGAACACATTAAGATGAAACTCATCAATGAAAGTATTTTTTTTTTAGATACAAACATCTTACACATGACATTTATTCTGTATCAACTAAGTGGGCAGTGCCAGACACTGATATCAAATCTACATACAGAGCTCTTGTGTATCAACCATCCTGTCAAATGGAGTGGATATTGCAAGTGTTTGCTGTTGAGTACCCTTGAGTTTATTACTTCTAAAGGATTACCTACTCCTACAGCCCTAGAGAACGGATGTGGCTTCAAGTTATTATAGAAAAAGTTGGCTGACGAAGAATCCAACCCTGAAAACAAAATTACTATAAAACTCTATTTGTTACTATTGAACCCGTACTTTGCCATGAGATGTACTCTACCAATATAAAATCGAAAGATAAACATAACCCTAGTGCTCTGTGTGACAAAAAATAAGAATGTTCCCTAGTGAATGGTTTCCTTTCTCATGACACATTTTAGGTATTTAGCGAAACCATCTGAGAAATGGGAGTAAGAAAGATGAATTTAATGTTTAAAAAACAGCATGGTATTCTTAAAAAAGGTGATTCTTAAAGAGAGAAAAATAGTCTTGCATATAATTTAGCTTGACTTATGCTACTCATATTCAAGAAATGGCACATGACCTAAGCATTTCCCTGTACTGGATGTTGTCTCATTTTAACTGCATTGTTTTCTTGTGTATATATATATTCAGGTTGTCTCTAAGTTTAAACATTTATTTAGAGCTATCTTACACATATTAACAGCTAAAACAAAAAATATAACAAATTAAAAGACACAATACAAAAACTAATCAACCAAACTTGGCCAAACACATTGTCAAAAAATATAATTTTCTTCAATTTTTTTTTCATTGTCCTAATGTTAGAAATGACATCCATACCCAGGAATCCTAAAAAATGATCACAAAATAAATTTCTAAACTGAATCTGGGCAACCAGTCCCATGCAAAAATGCAGAAAAAAATAGGCTCACAAATAAGGCAACATCTATCTTCAGCACCTGGCCAGTGCAAGATGAAAATCACATGACAAGTCACTAGCTAAAAGTACTGGGCTCTTTCCTGCTTGCCATTGAAATATTCCTTATCAACTATGTGAATGGAATTTTGTGGCTTCAAACATCTAACCAATAAGGTGTGTTCACACACCATTTTTGTCTGGATACAAAAATCAAATGAGCTCGCACAGTTTACATCAATACACTAATTAGTACCTTTTGATTGAGTACTTCTCTCGTCTGTTAACATATCAAGACAAAGCTTAACTTAAAATGATAGAAAAGCCTGGGAAAACAAATTTTCTCATGCATATCCCAAACTCTGAGCCTGACCACTGTGATGAGCATTTCTCAAAACATGTTTCTTTCATTTCCATTTCAAACTTCACATTTGAAAGTTTTGAAATGACTTGATCAAGTTTAATTGTTTTCTTTAAAAATGAGTAAAAAATAATAATAAAAAGGCCAATACCAAAGCCAAAACTATTGATCAACAATATTGATATATTTGTTTGTAATTGACAAAAATACTTAAAGATTCACAATGTAATACAGACTGTAATAAATAGTCTTAAAGCCATTTGTATTAGTTTACCCTGATGGAGTTAACACATTCTGAATACACCAAAGAGCTAAATATAGCTATTAGAAATACATTTTGTATATTTAATTAACTAAACCATTTTTATTTTGACATTTTTAACTGGACATTTTTAGAATAAAATTTAAAAAGAAGTTGCATCAAGCTGAGCAATATACAACAACTTACAGCTAACACTAAGTTGGTGAATAAAATAGGATAATTTTAACAATAGAGTGTGCTGCTGTCTGTTTATTGAAGAAAAATCCCTAACCTACAGTTAAGAAATTTGAAAAGTCTGTGCTACTCTCTGTTTATTGAAGAAAAAAATCCCTAACCTACAGTTAAGAAATTTGAAAAGTCTTTGCTACTGTCTGTTTATTGAAGAAAAAATCCCTAACCTACAGTTAAGAAATTTGAAAAGTCTTTGCTACCGTCTGCTTATTGAAGAAAAAACACTAACCTACGGGTGGAAAAATTTGAACCTGAAGATCTAGTGTACTGACAGTTTGTTCATGAAGAATCTTTTCAGCGCAATTGAAACAAGCATGCAGGAGGTGACAAGCATAAGGTATGAAACATCAGACAACAGGATTGTTGTGGTCAAAGGTTAGATTAGAAGGTGTTAGTGTCGTCAAAATTGTAGGAATGTCTTTAAGTGTAACATAACAGGGTTTGAAAAGGTGGGAGTCGTACAGGGCTATCATTGAATGGGACCTCAGAGGGTCACTCTACTACTGATGCAGTCTAAGTGCTTGTTGATGGGGTCAGGTTGACTTCTTATTTAGGGGTCAGTATTCTATGGATGTAGTCTGACATGGGGTCGCTATTATGTCCAAGCTGGGACCAGGGTTCGCAGCTGATGGGGTCAGGTTGTATGTTAACAAATCAGGTTGTATGTTAACAAAGCAGGCTGTATGTTAACAACAAAAAAAAAGCTGAGATGTAAAGGGTTAAATGCTGTCTACTGGAACACCTCTATACATTGGAAAAATTTGGTCAGAAGAACACGACTTTGTTTTATTAAGGCACTCATGCACAAAGTTAACGGTAGCAAGCTAGGGTAGCCTGTTCTGGGGTAGCAAGGGAGGGTAGCCTGTTCTGGGGTAGCCTAATGTTAGGGTAGACTATGCTGGGGTAGCTAAATATTAGGGTAGCCTTACACTGGGTTGCCTTCAGCTGAGTTAGTCGTCATTTGTATTTCTAATGTAAAACTAGTCCGTTGGTGCTAAGTATTGTCTGTGCTTTAAATGTTAGGAATAAACTAAGATTTTCTATTGTTTTAATCCACTGACAGTATCTGCGCTATAACTGAGGTAATACATGCAATGTCATCTAGATGTATACACTTAATGACATCTAGATGTATACATGCAATGACATCTGGATGTGCTTGTCCTTTTTTTATTTTTACACTTTTGGCCATATAGAAAACATAAAAATGCCCACAATAGCAAACATATTGAAACGTAAATTATTCTTCAATAGATTTGTAAAAAAATATCGAGTAACATGTATAGTATTTGCAATAAATTTGAAATATAATAATTTAATAATGAACCTTAAATATGGAAGTAAACTTCTCTGATAAGTAAATTAGTCTAATTAAAAAAAAACCATAATATTTTCAATTAAATAATAACAAAACTTCTCTATGGTAAGTACTTTAAGGTTTTAAAATATAAACAGCTAGCATTTAATTTATAGTAATTTAATGAGCTTAAAGCTGACATTATAAGCTTTGATTATTCATATAAATGATCTATAATTTGTGACCCTCCAAGACAATTAGAGAACACATCAAGCTGAGCCTGAGTTTTTCAATCAGCCACAAATTTGCATTTTCAAAGTCTATATAACAAAATCTGCATTTTCAAAGCCTATATAACAAAACCTGCATTCTCAAAGCCTATATAACAAAACCTGCATTTTCAAAGCCTATGTAACACAAATAACTATTATTATTATTTTGAAAGAAAATTTAAATACTTTGCTGATAACTTTTTAACATTGCCATCACAAACGTGTGCACATTTATGAATGAATAATTAAAAAAAAAAGTTCCCAAAATGACCCCCTCGCACTTTCTCCAACCAAAACTAGCAGGAGATGCAGCAAGCAACTGATTTTGCCGCGGAGGATCACATTTAGTTGAACTATACGACATGTTAGGAAGACAGACAACAAGCCCTTTAGAATATCACCCAGGTTTTGACAAGTTTTGACAAGTCTCAATAGCAATTGCAACTAAGAAAATTGCTAGACTCTGCCCTACTACAGATAGGAAAATGGCTAATATTAAAGGGGGTTAGACCACCTGAAACATTTCTGGAAAGACTAAACTAATAACATTTTGTCGTGGCATATTGGCTTAGTTTGACTCAGTCCATTGATGGGACAGCTGTACTTTTATTGTCACATTAGCCAATTATTACTATGTTAGCCTATCTTAGGCGGGGTATCTTTATTTACTCATGTTTTTAAACATTAACAAAATACAAATTCTAAAAATATATTTTCTCTGACTGCCCCAATCTTATTTGATTGAGACAGTTAAAGCTCAAATTGATTAAAGCAACTTTTGTTCTTCATATTGTAATCAACTGTAATATGTTAATGTTTCCCAGAAGTGATTCCATCCTTCCCTATATTCCACTACTGCTAAGGGGTGAACAGGATCAGTGGTGTAAAATAATGACAATATCTAGATTCTAATTCATCTTTAAACAAACACACGTATACATATAAATATTTGAATAAAATATAACATTTATCACTGGGAGGTTAACAACATAATTAAAACTTTGATTACAAGGGCAATAACTACTACTGTGTACACACACTGGGGGGAGGTAAAAACTTCTAAATCTAGAGGAGGGTGGGACATCTAAACTTAAAAACAAAGAGGATTAGTGAAGAAAAAATGTTACTGGGTACTGAACCTTTTGTTTTTAAAAGGTGATAGCAACAGATTGGTGGAAGGGTAAGGTAAATGTCTGCATGACTTCCTGGCTAAGAGATCACATGACATCCAGGTTAGAGATCACATGACTTCCAGGCTAGAGATCACATGACTGTAGATGACAAATCACAACCTTTGAGATGGGAGCAGCTGTCCAATGCTTTTATTCTACTGTGTTCTTGGCTTTAAGTTTTATTTAATTAAGGCTCTAATTAAAAATAAATTATTCTAACAATAAACACCAGCAATAATTTAAATATAATACAATAACAGATTGTATAGACATTCAAGTAAAAAGTTTTAACAAAAAAAAAACAACCTATTATTTTTTTTACAAAAATAACTCACCTGACATATTTACATTTCAATTATAAAATAGTTCAAATTTAAAAAATTAAATATACAGTTCAATTATATTATTGATGACATGGATAGAAATGGAATATAAAAGGGAAGTTAAAGACTAGATGGTTGATGGGATATCTACTGTTTGATTTTCTTGGCAGACGTGAGCTCAGTGTGTAGGGGTGGATGTTGCTGCTTGCTTGATGAAAGTAAAATGGTATCGCTGCTTGACAAAATTTTTTGTAAGAAATCCATTTAACATTCTGGCTTTGTTGATTGGTGTAGACAAATTAATGACAACATTGGAAGAATCCGTGCAAATAAATAATAAAATTTGATACTAGAATTAAAACACAGTGAAGTGTAGACGTGTCTCATGGTTTGAACAGGTGGGTAGCTTCCCCTTTCAAGTTGTCTCCCTTGACTGAGGTGCTGTAGGACCTGGAATAAAGAACAGGTTTCACCCCCTTAGGTATGTGACAGTGGTCTCAGGTGGTGTGTGTTGTGACAGTGGTCTCAGGTGGTGTGTGTTGTGACAGTGGTCTCAGGTGGTGTGTGTTGTGACAGTGGTCTCAGGTGGTATGTGTTGTGACAGTGGTCTCAGGTGGTATGTGTTGTGACAGTGGTCTCAGGTGGTATGTGTTGTGACAGTGGTCTCAGGTGGTATCTGTTTGTGTGTGTGGGGGGGGGGGGGGGGGTGAGGTTAGTACAACAACAAACTGACTTTGTGAAAGATGATTGATGAAGATTTGTACCATGTCAACAAGCACACACACAGTATGTCGAGCTCCATAACATTAATTCAACTAATCTTTACCAAAAGGTAACGAGGGTAAGAGAAGTAATTGATCCAGTCCCAGTCGGTCTGGCTAATGTGCAAAAGTTTGAGCCATTAATGAGTGTATGCAAATGGGTGTTGCTCTCTATCTTGTTGACAGTGGTCTAATAACGGAAAGGTGTCACGTAGTGCACAAGTAACTCAGGGTAGTCCAATATAAAGTTAACAACCTTTCCAATCATACGGTCAAACAGTGTGCGGCTGTACTACACTGGGCTGCACATAGTTATATATTTTGTTGAGGAACACTCTCTATTTATTGCTGCAGTGCGAGACAACTAACCTAGCTATATAATTAGTAATAAACAAGATACCATGTGAGACTTACTATTTTTTACTTACTATTTTTTGAAGATTTTAAACAGCTTCGATTTTTTGCTAGAGGGTGGAGCCATGAGCATGGGCACCTGGTTGTGGTGGCTGATGTAGATCTGGGGGGAAAGTTTTGCATGGATTAGATTAAACTGATTAATGGATGATGTAGATCTGGGGGGGGGGGAGGAAGTTTTGTATGGATTAGATTAAACTGGTTAATGGATGATGTAGATCTGGGGGGGGGGGGAAGTTTTGCATGGATTAGATTAAACTGGTTAATGGATGATGTAGATCTGGGGGGAAAGTTTTGTATGGATTAGACAAACTGGTTAATGGATGATGTAGATCTGAGGGGAAAGTTTTGTATGGATTAGATTAAACTGGTTAATGGATGATGTAGATCTGGGGGGAAAGTTTTGCATGGATTAGATTAAACTGGTTAATGCATGATGTAGATCTGGGGGGAAAGTTTTGCATGGATTAGATTAAACTGGTTAATGGATGATGTAGATCTGGGGGGAAAGTTTTGCATGGATTAGATTAAACTGGTTAATGGATGATGTAGATCTGAGGGGAAAGTTTTGTATGGATTAGATTAAACTGGTTAATGGATGATGTAGATCTGGGGAGAAAGTTTTGTATGGATTAGATTAAACTGGTTAATGGATGATGTAGATCTGAGGGGAAAGTTTTGTATGGATTAGACAAACTGGTTAATGGATGATGTAGATCTGAGGGGAAAGTTTTGTATGGATTAGATTAAACTGGTTAATGGATGATGTAGATCTGGGGGGAAAGTTTTGTATGGATTAGATTAAACTGGTTAATGGATGATGTAGATCTGAGGGGAAAGTTTTGCATGGATTAGATTAAACTGATTAATGGATGATGTAGATCTGGGGGGAAAGTTTTGTATGGATTAGATTAAACTGGTTAATGGATGATGTAGATCTGGGGGGAAAGTTTTGTATGGATTAGACAAACTGGTTAATGGATGATGTAGATCTGAGGGGAAAGTTTTGTATGGATTAGATTAAACTGGTTAATGGATGATGTAGATCTGGGGGGAAAGTTTTGTATGGATTAGATTAAACTGGTGTGTTAAACCATTTTAAGTGGAACATAAAAAGTTTAATCAAGAAATAAAAGAAACAAATGAATGTGTGGGGAAAGTGGGAGGAAAGTTTTGCAGGGATTAGATTAAACTGGTGTGTTAAACCATTTTAAGTGGAACATAAAAAGTTTAATAAAAAAAATAGAAACAAATGAATGTGTAACTTACTGTACATGGAGGCTGCATCCAAGGTTCCCCATCTATCTGCATGGGAAATCTTTTCCTTGTTCTGTAATACATTGGTTAAATACTTCAGTAGTTGTAAGTCAGACATTACAATGGTTAAATACTTTAGTAGTTGTAAGACATTACATTGGTTAAATACTTCAGTAGTTGTAAGCCAGACATTACAATGGTTAAATACTTCAGTTGTTGTAAGCCAAACATTACAATGGTTAAATACTTCAGTGGGTGTAAGACATTACAATGGTTAAATACTTCAGTAGTTGTAAGCCAGACATTACAATGGTTAAATACTTCAGTAGTTGTAAGCCAGACATTACATTGGTTAAATACTTCAGTAGTTGTAAGACGTTACAATGGTTAAATACTTCAGTAGTTGTAAGCCAGACATTACAATGGTTAAATACTTCAGTAGTTGTAAGACATTACAATGGTTAAATACTTCAGTAGTTGTAAGCCAGACATTACATTGGTTAAATACTTCAGTAGTTGTAAGCCAGACATTACAATGGTTAAATACTTCAGTAGTTGTAAGCCAGACATTACAATGGTTAAATACTTCAGTAGTTGTAAGACGTTACAATGGTTAAATACTTCAGTAGTTGTAAGCCAGACATTACATTGGCTAATTTCTTCAGTAGTTGTAACCCAGACATTACATCGGTTAAATACTTCAGTAGTTGTAAGCCAGACATTACATTGGTTAAATACTTCAGTAGTTGTAAGCCAGACATTACAATGGTTAAATACTTCAGTAGTTGTAAGCCAGACATTACATTGGTTAAATACTTCAGTAGTTGTAAGCCAGACATTACATTGGTTAAATACTTCAGTAGTTGTAAGCCAGACATTACAATGGTTAAATACTTCAGTAGTTGTAAGACGTTACAATGGTTAAATACTTCAGTAGTTGTAAGCCAAACATTACATTGGTTAAATACTTCAGTAGTTGTAAGCCAGACATTACATTGGTTAAATACTTCAGTAGTTGTAAGCCAGACATTACATTGGTTAAATACTTCAGTAGTTGTAAGCCAAACATTACATTGGTTAAATACTTCAGTAGTTGTAAGCCAGACATTACATTGGTTAAATACTTCAGTAGTTGTAAGCCAGACATTACATTGGTTAAATACTTCAGTAGTTGTAAGCCAAACATTACATTGGTTAAATACTTCAGTAGTTGTAAGCCAGACATTACAATGGTTAAATACTTCAGTAGTTGTAAGCCAGACATTACATTGGTTAAATACTTCAGTAGTTGTAAGACATTACAATGGTTAAATACTTCAGTAGTTGTAAGCCAGACATTACAATGGTTAAATACTTCAGTAGTTGTAAGCCAGACATTACAATGGTTTTATGGTGGGCTAATCAAAAGCCAGCAGTTTTAAATGGGTTTATGGTGGGCTAATCATTCAAAAGCCAGCAGTTTCAAATTTTTTGATGGGTGAAGAATTATATGATGTTATAAAGGGCAACATGAACACAGAGAGACAGGTAAGGTTTCACTATGGAGAAACAGATACTGAGATGACTGAATGACCTACCTTACAGGTCAGATTTCACTAAGGAGAAACAGAGATGACTGAATGACCTACCTGATGACAACCTGTGAACACTGAGCTAGCCGTTTGCCAGATGACCTAAGTCCAGCATAGACTTGACCCACGTGGAATATGTTTTCTAGTCCCACCACCTCGATCATGGAGTCACCAACATCTGAAATAGTTGCTGTCTGTTAGTAGGGGGACTAGGTACATGGAGGGTCATATATCAATGGGGGGTGGGTGGGGGTGGGACTGACAGGCTAGTTATATTTACTATTATATAACTCTGGGGGTAACAATTAATATGTGGGAAGGGGGTTGTAACTAAATTAGCTGACATCTCCAAACCGTAGAGCGCTTTTATTGAAGTCATATAAAAATAATGTTTTTTTACACTTTAAAAAAAATAATTCTTTTTAGTGTAGCCTATATTTAAAAAAGCCTTTTTTAACATTCATTTATACATGTATTTATAAAATTTATATTTTATTTGACAAAAATCCAGTAAGTTATCTCTTACTTTGTACTTCTATGGCCAGTAAAAATGTTATCGATTACTTTGAACTTCTATGGCCAGTAAAAATGCTATCTCTTACTTTGTACTGCAATAGCCAGTTCTGCTGAAGACATGCTGCTGGTGGAGAATTCCCTGTCCTTGTCCTTCTTGGCTTTCTGAGCTTTCCGTCTCTTCTTCTGACTTGGGTTATCTCCCCACAGGTTTGTGCCACCGTAGATGGAGGGGATGTTTAGAATGGCAATACCTTCCAGGCTTGGCCCATTGGCCAGATCCAGTGAACAGCCATCACACTAAGTAGACAGGAGAGGACTATCAGCTTCATACAAAACTAAACTGTTTACATAGTTACCCGTATAATAACTGGAGCTAACTTATAATTATAATACAATTTAAAAGATTTTTTTCTTAAGTAGCAGTATCAAAATATAAATAGATAAGACAGAGGAAAAATGTAAGATAATGTAATTTTAAAAATGGAGAAAAAGATGTAAGATAATGTAATTTTTTTTTTAAATTGAGAAAAAGTATACCATAATTTAAAGAAATAGAGAAAACTGTAAGATAAAGTAAGTAAAAAAAGAATGAGAATTAATGATGTACCATAATGTCGATGTCCTCATGTAGATTCTTGCAGGTGGAAGAGAAAAACTGCTCCGATGTGCTGAACTCAAAGTACCACAGCTTGTTTTTCATCCTGGATAGGACCACACCCAGAGTTATTGCATGTGATTATAATTTATTTACACTAATAAACCTTACAATGAATCATAAAAAAAAATTATTATGAGAAAACTAAACCACTAACAACAACGAGATGGTTACCCTTGTCATGAAATAAAATGTATGATTACTTACTCTCTTTTACAAAAGATTCTGCCTAGATCATGTAAAATGAACAAATGAAATAGACAAACTTACCGGCTGTTAAATTTTTCTGGATGTTTTTCTCTCATGGCATGAAATCTGTGACAAATGGAGGCATCCTGGAGACAAAAATTACATTTTAAAAATGGGACTTTAAATTTGTTGAAAATTTACTGTAACAATTCCCTATTAACCACTCTAATGAGTCATCTGTGATCTGTAAATAATTTACAATGTAACAGTAATAACCTATGCTATAAAAAATTATAGGGATGCTCTAGCTAGGGTAAGGTTGAAATTCTGGGTAGAAAACTCTACAACAGTGAACCATGAACATTGAGGATAGAAAACTGCCCTAAAACACTGACCTACACACCAATAGAGAAGTAGTTATTGGTGATGTTGTATAGAATCTACAACAGTGACCTACCACACCAATGGAGAAGTAGTTATTGATGATGTTGTAGATATTGATGATGTTGTATAGAATCTACAACAGTGACCTACCACACCAATAGAGAAGTAGTTATTGATGATGTTGTAGTTATTGATGATGTTGTATAAAATCTACAACAGTGACCTACCACACCAATAGAGAAGTAGTTATTGATGATGTTGTATGGAATTGGGTCACCTTCCTGCTCATCCCCATCCTCTGGTTTACTGAACTCAATCTTCCACCTGAAAACACAAGAGATTTTAGTACAACAGTTTTATCAGTCTCTTATACAACAGTCACTGCAGTCTTTTATTGACATGACTTACTACAAACATGACCTACCTGTCCACTACAAACATGACCTACCTGTCCACTACAAACATGACCTACCTGTCCACCACAAACATGACCTACCTGTCCACTACAAACATGACCTACCTGTCCACTACAAACATGACCTACCTGTCCACTACAAACATGACCTACCTGTCCACTACAAACATGACCTACCTGTCCACTACAAACACGACCTACCTGTCCACTACAAACATGACCTACCTGTCCACTACAAACATGACCTACCTGTCCACTACAAACATGACCTACCTGTCCACTACAAACATGACTTACCTGTCCACTACAAACATGACCTACCTGTCCACTACAAACATGACCTACCTGTCCACTACAAACATGACCTACCTGTCCACTACAAACATGACCTACCTGTCCACTACAAACACGACCTACCTGTCCACTACAAACATGACCTACCTGTCCACTACAAACATGACCTACCTGTCCACTACAAACATGACCTACCTGTCCACTACAAACATGACTTACCTGTCCACTACAAACATGACCTACCTGTCCACTACAAACATGACCTACCTGTTCACTACAAACATGACCTACCTGTCCAACATAACAGCAGTGCTGTTCTCTATCTTCTTGAGCACCTTGAGCAAGTTCTCCCCTTCATACCCCCCTCCCCAGCACAAACAGCGGGCCATGTCATTGCCCGTCCCCAGGGGCAGCACGGATACAGGTGGTCTTTGAGCAAAGTTTACTTTATCTGTAACATAATCATACGCGGTCAACTTTATCTGTAACATAATCATACGCGGTCAACTTTATCTGTAACATAATCATACGCGGTCAACTTTATCTGTAACATAATCATACGTGGTCAACTTTATCTGTAACATAATCATACGCGGTCAACTTTATCTGTAACATAATCATACGTGGTCAACTTTATCTGTAACATAATCATACGTGGTCAACTTTATCTGTAACATAATCATACACTAAAGTGATGACCTACCCATAGTATCAAGGAGCCATCCCACAGACCCGTCACCTCCACACACTAGCACTCTAGCATTAGGCACATCTTTGAAAAACTGTAACCTGAAGTGGACAGAGGTCAGTATTAGGCTTGGAATGATATGAAAGCACATAGGACTCCCCACAAAAAGGCTGAAGACAAATTGACCTCTAGTATGAGTTTAATCTACAGTGGAGCTTACTATACGCAAGAGATTCGTTTTTTAGTGAGGGTCATTTTGTCAAAGCACTTTTTACGGGGGTCTATTTAGTTAATTTTTTTTATATTTGTAAAGAATTGAAATGAGCCATTTTGTTAGGGTTCTTAAATTGCAAGATCCATATTGATGGGGCCCTTTTATAACAAGCCATTTTTGCCAGAACATATTGATGCATCATGAAAACCCACAGAGTATAAAAATGGTCTGTACATCTCTAAATACTTGAGAAAATCACGTATACATTTAAGGGGGTCTTTTATTACAAATGTGTACATTCAAGGGGGTCTTTTACTACAAATGTGTACATTCAAGGGGGTCTTTTATTTTAAGTGTGTACATTGAAGAGGTCTTTTATTCTAAGTAAATAAACTGTTTACCCAACCAAAGGGCCGTCCTTGACCATGTTGTAGACTTGTCTGGGATTCAGCAAGTATTGAAACTTGCGCAACAGCCTGAGAATGTAGAGGAATGGGAAGTTTAACATTTTTATAAAGTACTTCATGGCCTTATAGGCAACCAGTGAAAGTTATTATTTGTTTACTACTGAATTGAATGCCTGGTGTTTCCCTTGAAATTTGTCAAGTTTACAGCTAAAGTTATTGTATTAAAGTTTCTCAAATTAAGTTTTCAGTTAAAACTGTTGATTCAAAGGTTCTCAAATTAAGTTTACAGCTAAAACTGTTGATTCAAAGGTTCTCAAATTAAGTTTTCAGCTAAAACTGTAGATTCAAAGGTTCTCAAATTAAGTTTACAGCTAAAACTGTAGATTCAAAGGTTCTCAAATAAAGTTTACAGCTAAAACTGTTGATTCAGAGGTTCTCAAATTAAGTTTTCAGCTAAAACTGTTGATTCAAAGGTTCTCAAATTGACAGCTGAGCTCACCTGGCGCCTTGCTTGCCTCCACTTTTTGGGTTGATGAAAATTAACAAAGGATGAGTTCCATCTAAGGGTGTAATTTGAAATGAACTTTGACCCTTTAAAACAAAATATTTTTTAATAATATTTTTGAAAATTGAAAAACGATGTTTTTTTTTTTTAATAAAGGCAAATTCTTTTATCTTTATAAAAATTGTGTTTCTAAGAAAAGAATAATAAATGCAAGTCAAAACAAAGAATAATTTTAGAATTAGCTTGCCTCTGATGTCTTTTTTAGGAAATGTTAAATTTAAAAATAGACCAATTGTTGAAGTAGGGAAAAACAGACTAATTACCGGACTGACTGGTCCATCCAATTGAGCACTCTCTGAAAGTGGCGTTAAAGATTTTCCATCATCACTTCTCTCTCGCTCCTTCTCCAAGGTGTTTTTACCGCTCCCTCCCCCGCCTCGCCCCCGCTCCTAGAAAAGACAACTTTTTTTTAAAACCAATTTCCTGTCATTTAGTTAGCAATTGGGGACTGCCATGAATAGCAAAGATGATTAAAAACTACCAGCTATAGCACCCATGTTTTTACCAGCTTAAAAACTTACAAAACAAATTTCAATCAAAATAAATTTGTCTTGAAAAATAATCAGAACTGAAATGATCAAATCACACTTTTTTTTTTAAATTACACAGAAATAAAATTACATTTTAATTTTTAAGCTTCTAATTAAATAAATCTGGTTAAACTTAGAAAACCCCAGCTAAAAAACAAACACATACCCAGCTATTAAAGTTCAAAAAAATTAAATCAGTTTCCATTGGTGAGTAGAGTATTTTAAAACTGTAATCAACAAAGTGGTCTACTTGCGCGGGTGATAGATGGATATAGTCAGAAAATCAAGACAGTTTTTTCAAGCACAAAAGATCAACTACTACAAATTTAAACAGAATTGTGCAACTGCATTGATGTGTACAAGTACATGTTTGTTTTCTTTACAAGGCGTGTACATGTGCAGGCGATTGTATTTTGTACATGCATTTGTGTGTTGTGTACATGTACATGCATGTTTTGTACACTGTGTTATGTAAGTGTTCATGTGTCTGTGTGTTTTGTACACATAGTTCTGTGGCAGTTGTTGAACGGCAGCATAAAGTGGTCTAAGCAGAAGAAGCCAACACAAAGCAAGGGGCAGTAACATTTCTACAGTGGTCATGGATGACATGTATTTAGATTAACAGACTTTAGCCTAATAGAGATTAGTCTGTTATTGAGGTGTGTCTAAGACAGACTTTAGCCTAATAGAAATTAGTCTGTTATTGAGGTGTGTCTAAGACAGACTTTAGCCTAATAGAAATTAGTCTGTTATTGAGGTGTGTCTAAGACAGACTTTAGCCTAATAGAAATTAGTCTGTTATTGAGGTGTGTCTAAGACAGACTTTAGCCTAATGGAAATTAGTCTGTTATTGATGTGTGTCTAAGGCAGACTTTAGCCTAATGGAAATTAGTCTGTTATTGAGGTGTGTCTAAGACTTTAGCCTAATGGAAATTAGTCTGTTATTGATGTGTGTCTAAGGCAGACTTTAGCCTAATGGAAATTAGTCTGTTATTGATGTGTGTCTAAGGCAGACTTTAGCCTAATGGAAATTAGTCTGTGTAAAAAAAAGTGTATAAAAAAGTTGACAAAACAAACAAAATGTTAATGTGACAAAACAAACAAAATGTTAATGTGACAAAACAAACAAAATGTTTACGTGATGAAACAAAGTGATGTGTTAAGCTGCTTGAATATTTGCAGTAAAACTTGAGTGCTATTAGAAAATTTAATTAATTAATTGTATCAAATCAGTTTAAAATCCATATAAATATAAAATAATGCTCTAAAGAAGCAAATTAATTTTGGATAGAAATGAGCTAAAATACATTTGCAAAGGAAATTTCTTTCATAAAATGTCCTATCAATATATAAATTTATTTTTCTAAATTATCTTAAAATAGGTTAAAAGTAAACATTTGTTAGACTAAGATTCAAGGCCAACTAATCAAAGAATTGAAACAAAATGTATTAATGTACAGAGTTAAAGGTCAGATTATAAGCTAGTTAATTAAAGCAAGACGGAGTTGTGCCAGTATAACTGAGAGATGGATGAAAAGGTTAGTTATGAAGCTAGAGAGTTTAGATAGTGGCATGAGAGTTGAATGAAAGAGTTAGTTCTTTAAGCTAGTTTGGGTTAACTACTCCAGTAGCCTCTGGTTAAAGGCACATGTTTGCTCTCAGTTAACTAGCATGTCTGATTTTTATGTGTAACCGTAACGTCTGCATTAGCAGCAAGTCAACATTAAACTCAGAAACTACATTTATAAAAATTCTACATCAACATTTGTAATATACACATTGAAATTTCAAAACATGATCAGATGAAAATGGTATACACTAAAATAGAAAATTTAACATGAAATATTTGCTAGGCAAATGTGATACAAATATAAGAACACCAAAATGTTAATTTGACAAAAATAGTACCTAATAGAGTGTTGACACAAAAATGTTAGACTTATAAAATGTTGACATAATATTAGCTGAGAGAAACTTGTGCTAGAAAAATTATGTCACCTTTTTGAGCCCCCTGGATTTCAGGAACTAAGGAGAAATAGGCAAGCGTTTTTTTTCTGTGTCAACAGTACAATCATAAGGAGAGAAACAGGCAAACAATTGTCTGTGTCAACGGTGACAGGACAAATGATCTCAAGGACAAAATATATCAGGACAAATGATATCATGGACAAATGATCTCAGACAAAATATCTCAGACAAAATATCTTACGGACAAATGATCTCAAGACAAATGATCTCAGGACAAATGATCTCAGACAAAATATCTCAGACAAAATATCTCACGGACAAATGATCTCAAGACAAATGATCTCAGGACAAATGATCTCAAGGACAAATGATCTCACGGACAAAAGATACCAGGACAAAATATATCAGGACAAATGATCAATTGTCCTGAGATCATTTGTCTTGAGATCATTTGTCCGTGAGATATTTTGTCTGAGATATTTTGTCTGAGATCATTTGTCCTGAGATCATTTGTCATGGAACCGTGTCAACAGTACAATCATAAGGAGAGAAACAGGCAAACATTTGTCTGTGTGTCAACAGTCAATCATTTCTCTACTGCCAGTAATCATGTGGCTTCTCAACTACTAGTGTTAAATGCAAACATTGAGCAATGAATCTATCAGCTGTTGTGGGAAAGTGTGGGGTGAGAGAGTGTGGGGTGGGAAAGTGTGGGGTGGGAAAATGTGGGGTGGTAAAGTGGGGGGTGGAAGAGTGGGGTGCAATGGGAAAATTCCTTAAAATAAAAATAAAAATGTTTACTTTGAAATTTGAAAATAAAACCTACTAATTTTTCTCTCTAGAGGCTACATTCTACTTTAACTATTTAGGCCTAATAATACACATTATAGAAAATATTCAAGGCATGAATCAGTAAATAGGTACACAATACATGTCACTGATTAAAAGTAACTTGGTAGTAAATCTTGAGAGATCTATTAAATTTTTGTGGACGTCTACAATGGGGGATCCCGGTTGAAAGAGGATGAGTGTGGAGGGGGAAGGGGGGAGGGGGGGGGTCTGAAATCCGAAAAAAAATTTCACGTCTTAAATGGATGACCCCCCAACACCACAAAGATAATACAACACCACACAGATAACACAATACTTCACAGATAATACAACAAAAAGACAATACAATTAAACTCTTCAGTCAAAGAAGTCTGTGTTCTATTAGAACAAAGTTGTGTACATTGGTCTTGTGTATGAGTAGTTCTCATTCAACCACAATCACAAATCTCAAGTCTAACAAGGTTTAAGTGAACCTATACAAATCTCAGGTGTGACAAGGTTTAAGTGAACCTATACAAATCTCAGGTCTGACAAAGTTTAAGTGAACCTATACAAATCTCAGGTCTGACAAGGTTTAAGTGAACCTATACAAATCTCAGGTCTGACAAGGTTTAAGTGAACCAATACAAATCTCAGGTGTGACAAGGTTTAAGTGAACCTATACAAACCTCAGGTGTGGGAAGGTTTAAGTGAACCAATACAAATCTCAGGTGTGACAAGGTTTAAGTGAACCTATACAAATCTCAGGTCTGACAAGGTTTAAGTGAACCTATCACAATCTCAGGTCTGACAAGGTTTAAGTGAACCTATACAAATCTCAGGTCTGACAAGGTTTAAGTGAACCTATCACAATCTCAGGTGTGACAAGGTTTAAGTGAACCTATACAAACCTCAGGTGTGACAAGGTTTAAGTGAACCTATACAAATCTCAGGTCTGACAAGGTTTAAGTGAACCTATACAAATCTCAGGTCTGACAAGGTTTAAGTGAACCAATACAAATCTCAGGTGTGACAAGGTTTAAGTGAACCTATACAAATCTCAGGTCTGACAAGGTTTAAGTGAACCTATCACAATCTCAGGTCTGACAAGGTTTAAGTGAACCTATACAAATCTCAGGTCTGACAAGGTTTAAGTGAACCTATCACAATCTCAGGTGTGGGAAGGTTTAAGTGAACCTATACAAATCTCAGGTGTGACAAGGTTTAAGTGAACCTATACAAATCTCAGGTCTGACAAAGTTTAAGTGAACCTATACAAATCTCAGGTCTGACAAGGTTTAAGTGAACCTATACAAATCTCAGGTCTGACAAGGTTTAAGTGAACCAATACAAATCTCAGGTGTGACAAGGTTTAAGTGAACCTATACAAACCTCAGGTGTGGGAAGGTTTAAGTGAACCAATACAAATCTCAGGTGTGACAAGGTTTAAGTGAACCTATACAAATCTCAGGTCTGACAAGGTTTAAGTGAACCTATCACAATCTCAGGTCTGACAAGGTTTAAGTGAACCTATACAAATCTCAGGTCTGACAAGGTTTAAGTGAACCTATCACAATCTCAGGTGTGACAAGGTTTAAGTGAACCTATACAAACCTCAGGTGTGACAAGGTTTAAGTGAACCTATACAAATCTCAGGTCTGACAAGGTTTAAGTGAACCTATACAAATCTCAGGTCTGACAAGGTTTAAGTGAACCAATACAAATCTCAGGTGTGACAAGGTTTAAGTGAACCTATACAAATCTCAGGTCTGACAAGGTTTAAGTGAACCTATCACAATCTCAGGTCTGACAAGGTTTAAGTGAACCTATACAAATCTCAGGTCTGACAAGGTTTAAGTGAACCTATCACAATCTCAGGTGTGGGAAGGTTTAAGTGAACCTATACAAATCTCAGGTCTGACAAGGTTTAAGTGAACCTATACAAATCTCAAGTCTGACAAGGTTTAAGTGAACCTATACAAATCTCAAGTCTGACAAGGTTTAAGTGAACCTATACAAATCTCAGGTCTGACAAGGTTTAAGTGAACCTATACAAATCTCAAGTCTGACAAGGTTTAAGTGAACCTATACAAATCTCAGGTCTGACAAGGTTTAAGTGAACCAATACAAATCTCAGGTCTGACAAGGTTTAAGTGAACCTATACAAATCTCAGGTCTGACAAGGTTTAAGTGAACCTATCACAATCTCAGGTCTGACAAGGTTTAAGTGAACCTATACAAATCTCAGGTCTGACAAGGTTTAAGTGAACCTATCACAACCTCAGGTGTGGGAAGGTTTAAGTGAACCTATACAAATCTCAGGTCTGACAAGGTTTAAGTGAACCTATCACAATCTCAGGTGTGGGAAGGTTTAAGTGAACCTCTAGCCCAGCATCCTAGGTGAGTACACACATGCTGTTGAAAGGTAAACAGTGGCTCATGCCCTAGAGGTAGCACAACAAATGGACTAGTTGTATGATAACAAGTACGCTGGTCAAGTGATAACAACACATATGCCATGTGATGACAACACATATGCTAGCCACCTAGTTACATGTGTGCTAGTTAATACATATGGTATGCACCTAACACTGCATTCCTAATTGACTTGGGTCAGTAAACCTAACATTTCTCACCAATAGAATAACAAACTATCCTTTGCTTTAAATCCTAATTTTAAAAAATATTCCAGTTATAAAATGGTATTTGGAATCCCTAATATAAATTTCCTTTTTTTTAAATCAATAAAAATTTGGAAATCATCAATCTTCTCTCAACATGCTTAATTAGAAATAAAAATGAATATCTTAAACACTTGTTTTAAGGTTTTTATATTTGATTTCTTGAAGGTTTTTTTTTAAGTGTGACTCTTTAATAATTTCTTTAATTAATTAGTTTGTTAAGATAAATTTATTTTTGTGCAAGAGTTACATGGACACTGTGAACCTACACAAAGTGAAATGGTGAGGAAAATAAACTTCAGGATGAGAGAGTCCCACAAGTGCATGCAGAGAACCACCACTGCCAAGCCACATGCCCTGGGGAATTGAGGGGGATGGAGGGGGTGGGGGGGGGGCTCAAGCAATCAGCAAGGCTTCCTTTTTAGGTCATAATTAAGGTAGAGTTGCACAGGTCTTCAGTGAACTGGCCGTGTAATTAAGATGGGCCAGGTGTGACTGAGTCCAGTCCACCAGATGACCCAGACCACAGAGGGAGCTTGGCAGTCAGGGTAAAGCACACTCACGCCTAACACTTCAGCTAAAGACTGGCCTTTCCACAAATACCTTCAGCTCCTGCAGACCTTTGTACTTGTAAGTTAAAAATGTTAAAAACATGGATTGGATTGAAGTGTGTCCCCAGGAGGAACAAAGTATTTGTGAAAAGCCAGTGAAAAAAGAATTGGATTACTAACGTGAAGTCCCTCATGGCTCTCGGAGTCCGACATAAACTGTCGGCAAAAAGGGTTAGAGCAAGTTAGGTATTCATTGATTCAATCTAACATCTCTACAACTTTTTTTACAATCTGGCTTTACAAAGGTACAAACTTGTAGTCTTATTGTATTGAAGCAATAAGCCAGCTCTTAATGAAAACCAAGCTAACCCTATCATATGGCAACTAAAGTAAAAATGTCATGATAAAACTGCCTTTATTAAATAGTGCTAGGATAATTTAAAAAGTTGATAGCTTAGTGTTACAAGATTGTCAGTGTTTTATGATAATGATCAAATAATTCTCTAACACCTGGGCTAGCTGAGCCATGATCTGTGTGCGCTAAGTGAATACGTTTTAAAACAACTTATACTTACAAACTATGGATAGAATTTTAATGGCCAGAGAAGAGAAGAAAAAACAGCCACTCATGTATTAAATCTTAGCCAATCAGGCATGTCATCATGAGGTAAAAGAAAGTTGTGGGCATAAGGTAAAAGAAAAAAGTTGTGGGCATAAGGTAAAAGAAAGAAAGTTGTGGGCATAAGGTAAAAGAAAGAAAGTTGTGGGCATAAGGTAAAAGAAAGAAAGTTGTGGGCATAAGGTAAAAGAAAGAAAGTTGTGGGCATAAGGTGAAAGAAAGAAAGTTGTGGGCATAAGGTAAAAGGAAAAAAGTTGTGGGCATAAGGTAAAAGAAAGAAAGTTGTGGGCGTAAGGTAAAAGAAAAAGTTGTGGGCAGAAGAACTTACCAGAACAGCTGGGCAGACAGCAGTAGGGGGCAGCACGTGGTCTCTGTATTCACCCAGGTCACATTCTGGCTTCATCTGGCTGGCACATTTGTTGTGGAGCTGAGGAAACAAATTGGGAGCTTAAGTCAACAAATGGGGAGCTTAAGTCAACAAATGGGGAGCTTAAGTCATCAAATGGGGAGCTTAAGTCAACAAATGGGGAACTTAAGTCAACAAATGGGGAACTTAAGTCAACAAATGGGGAACTTAAGTCAACAAATGGGGAGCTTAAGTCAACAAATGGGGAGCTTAAGTCAACAAATGGGGAACTTAAGTCAACAAAAGTTCCATAGGAATAAGATAAATTGTGTAGTAATGCATGAATGACAAACATACATTTATTTATATATAGAGATAAAAATGGTAAGCAACTAATGGAATGATAGACATGACAGTCTGACATGACAAAAGATGCACCTGTCTGTTATACTTACTGTGACGTGACAGTCTGACATGACAAAAGATGCACCTGTCTGCTATACTTACTGTGACATGACACTGACATGACAAAAGATGCACCTGTCTGTCATACTTACTGTGACATGACACTGACATGACAAAAGATGCACCTGTCTGCTATACTTACTGTGACATGACACTGACATGACAAAAGATGCACCTGTCTGTCATACTTACTGTGACGTGACAGTCTGACATGACAAAAGATGCACCTGTCTGCTATACTTACTGTGACGTGACAGTCTGACATGACAAAGATGCACCTGTCTGCTATACTTACTGTGACGTGACACTGACATGACAAAAGATGCACCTGTCTGTCATACTTACTGTGACGTGACAGTCTGACATGACAAAAGATGCACCTGTCTGCTATACTTACTGTGACGTGACAGTCTGACATGACAAAAGATGCACCTGTCTGCTATACTTACTGTGACATGACACTGACATGACAAAAGATGCACCTGTCTGCTATACTTACTGTGACGTGACACCAGCGACAGTGTAAGCCAGTGACACCATTGTAAGACTTGATGGACTTCTTACAACGATCACATTTGCCGGCACAGTTCCCTTCCACCCAGTGATGATTCATTACCTGCACAGAAGATTGCATGCTTCATTAGTCTATCAAGCTACAGTACAATGATAATTCATTACCTGCACAGAAGATTGCTTGCTTTATTAGTCTATCAAGCTACAGTACATCTATGGTTCAAATAGCTTTTCAACCTGTTTTCATACCTACGTGTGTAGCTTTAAAAAATAACCTCATTAAATATGTTTAACTTTTTTCTTATTAAATTTCAATTTTGAAATCCATTGCAATCTTATGTTATGATACTGAACTTAAAAATAAATTTTAAAAAATGGTTTGAACAACAAAAAATGACATGAGCATTGACATTGTTAAATAAACTGGGAGTGATCTCCCCTAAACTTTCTCGAATATTCTTTTATAAAACAACAGGGGATGGGAACTCGGGATATAGTTATGATTTTTAATCCATTTTAAATACTTAAACTTTTAAAAATAGAATAGAATCTCATAGAAAAAATAATTGCGCACCAAGCAAACGCCGAATAAAGATGTGTATAATAGTGCGGAATATCATTAATACTTTATAAATTCACATGTGTTTTTTGAGAAATCGGAAATAGCGTAAATTACTACTTCTGGTCAACGGAAATTACTCAAAATTTGACAGAAGGTAGAGAATTAGATCTTTTACTTACATGTGAAATTTTATTTATCTATATGAAATAGTACTCAAGTTATAGGCTTTTGAAAAATTCAAAGTAGAAAAAGTACCACTTCCGGTTATCGGAAATTGCTCAAAAGTTGATACGGATCTACAATTTTGATAAAATACTCATATATGAAATTTCATCAACCTAGCTGTAACGGTACTCAAGTTATCGTGTTTACACACACACACAGACATACGGAGATTGTAAAAATCTCAAATTTTTTTTTTTGCACGATTACAAGACTTTCTCTATACTTCGTATATACGAGAAAGTAAAAAGGTTTGAACAACAAAAATGACTTGAGTGTTGAGATTGTTGAAAAAATTGCAGCAGTACCTGAGATGTTTTCTTTGACTTGACGTAGGTTGTGATACAGGATGCTGGCGCCCTCTGCACACATCGTTCATGGACTGTATATTTACAAACTGTACAAGAGAGATGGCATGAGAAACTCCCAGGAGATGCTCACAGGAGATACAAGCACCAATGTTTACAGCTAAGTGACTTGTTTCATCACACAGACTTACAACACACTTTGTCAGACAGACATCAACTTTGTCAGACAGACATCAACTTTGTCAGACAGACATCAACTTTGTCAGTCAGACATCAACTTTGTCAGACAGACATCAACTTTGTCAGTCAGACATCAACTTTGTCAGACAGACATCAACTTTGTCAGACAGACATCAACTTTGTCAGACTGACATCAACATTGTCAGTCAGACATCAACTTTGCCAGTAAGACATCAACTTTGTCAGACAGACATCAACTTTGTCAGACAGACATCAACTTTGTCAGTCAGACATCAACTTTGTCAGTCAGACATCAACTTTGTCAGACTGACATCAACATTGTCAGTCAGACATCAACTTTGTCAGTCAGACAGACATCAACTTTGTCAGTCAGACATCAACTTTGTCAGACAGACATCAACTTTGTCAGTCAGACAGACAACTTTGTCAGACAGACATCAACTTTGTCAGACAGACTTCAACCTTGTCAGACAGACATCAACTTTGTCAGACAGACATCAACTTTGTCAGACAGACATCAACTTTGTCAGACAGACATCAACTTTGTCAGACAGACATCAACTTTGTCAGACAGACATGAACCACTTACAAGAACAACAGAGCCCTTGCTTGCCGAGGCCAACAAGTAGGTTAAGACACAAGTTGCAGTAGGCAGGACGGTTAAAGTGTTTCAGTCTCCACACGTGTGTGCCGTCATCTTGTACATTCTGGGGAGACCATCACAAGATCATAAGATCATTACAAGATCATCCAAACATTACAAGATCATCCAACCATCACAAGATCATCCAACCATCACAAGATCATCAGACCATCACAAGATCATCCAACCATCACAAGATCATCCAACCATCACAAGATCATCAGACCATCACAAGATCATTAGAACTTACAAGATCATCCAACCATCACAAGATCAACCAACCATCACAAGATCATCCAACCATCACAAGATCATCAGACCATCACAAGATCATCCAACCATCACAAGATCATCCAACCATCACAAGATCATCAGACCATTACAAGATCATCCATTAATCAATTCTGTGAACTACTATGAATTCACATTTTGTTGTGATCGATTAAATTCATGTGTTTTTAAATGAATCCAATAGTTTGGTTGGAGAAACAAATCTCTAACCATGGCTGAACACCTCTAATAATAAACCGGGAGTGATCTCCCCTAAACTTTCTCGAATATTCTTATATAAAATAACAGGGGATGGGAACTCGGGCTATAGACATGATTTTTAATCCATTTTAAATACTTAAATTTTTAAAAATAGAATAAAATCTCGTAGACAAATTAATTGCACACCAAGTGAACGCCAAATAAAAAAGCGCATAATAGTGCACAATATTATTAGTACTTTTAAAATTTACATTAGTTTTTTGAGAAATCGGAAGTAGCGTAAATTACTACTTCCGGTCAACGGAAATTACTCAAAATTTAACAGAAGGTAGAGAATTAGATCTTTTACTTACATGTGAAATTTCATTTATCTATCTGAAATAGTACTCAAGTTATAGGCTTTTGAAAAATTCAAAGTAGGAAAAGTACCAGTTCCGGTTATCGGAAATCGCTCAAAAGTTGATATGGATCTACGATTTTGATAAAATACTTATATATGAAATTTCATCAACCTAGCTATAACGGTACTCAAGTTATCGTGTTTACACACGGACACACACACAGACAGACAGACAGACAGACACACAGACATACGGACAAGATTGCAAAATTATGTTTTTCCGTATCAGTGAGGTGTAAAACGTCGAGATTTGTAAAAAATGAGATTTGTAAAAATCTCGATTTTTTTTTTTTGCACGATTACAAGACTTTCTCTATACTTCGTATATACGAGAAAGTAAAAATGTAAAGAAAAGAATCCTCTTTAGACCTAGCCATCCATTTGGCAGATGAAGCAGAGTTCATTTGTTGCTTGACCTCGGCATTTGAAGGGAATGTGTGGTCAGCACTTTGCCCAGCCGTCTTTACTTTACCTAACATGAGTTAGGTACCCATCAGAGCTGGGTGGACTTAGGGACGCTCTACTGACTTGGACCCATATTTGAACTCGAGATCTTTGGGTTAGCAGTCTAGTGCTCTACTGCTTAGTCCATGCCATCCCATTTTTAAAAATGTACAAACTAGTCAAATGGTCAAGTGAAGAGAGAGAATTTTAAATTGACACCATCTTTCCACAGAAAGAGAATGTAGATGAACCAACTTACAATATCCAGCCCCAGTAAGACCAACAATGGTATAGTTGTCATGCCCCCCTTCTTCCACTCCTCCAAGGAAACTGTACCATCAGAGTCATAGTCTATCTCAATCATCATATCCTGGAGTATCTATTCAAATAAAAAATCCTCATAACATAGACACAAGTTCAAGCCATGTTTCCTTTGTTAAGTCCAACTCTAAGTTTTGAAAGGTTTTGGATGACAGTTTCCAATAACAAATAAACAAAGCCAAATTAGGTAATCAATCAGTCTAATCAAGGGCAGATAACAAGTGGGTATCATTATCTGCTATAAGAAATGTTAGCCACACTTTTTCCAGTTGAAAGCAAACTTTTTAGATGGATCTTGACTTCAGATCAATCAGCTTGATAAAAAAAACTAAACTACTAAAACTTAACTATCCTTAGTATGATATTTTTACAATACCTACATTAACATAAGAGAAAAAAAAACATTCTATATTACTCAGTTTTTAAATGCTGTAGCTGAGAAAAATCAACCAACACAATCTCAAGCTGTGAAGTAAAAAGTTGATAGCTAGTAATGAGCAGATTTCCAAGGTAACCAACAATTTTTCTTCACAGTTCAAGAATGTGTATGCCAGTTTTCTTATTATTGACCAATTTAAAAACTTGCTAACATAATGTTTTATACATAATGTTTTATAAATGTACGTATAAGAGGTAAAATATTTATAAGATGGGCACACAAAATCTATGCGTGTAGAGCAAGCATAAACAACCTACTGGTTTAAGTTCTGACACGTCCCAGCCCAAGTACTCTGCAACTGACATCATTTGATTGACAATACAGTCTATTTCCTGTCCGCAGAAAAATTAAAACTTGGTTAGGTTTAGTATATAACACAGTTCAATTATATTGCTAAATAAAGAACTAAACTTGAGTGTTGAATTGCATATTAAATAGATGTATTCATATACAAAAATGAAAATTAATACATATATATAATCGTAAACATACAGACAAATAAATAGATAAAGAGTATAAAACCTTACTGAAATAGAAAACTGACTTACGCAAGCATCTAAGAGGCCGTTACCATCAGAGTCATACAGACGAAACATAACTGAAATATCAAGTTCGTATATCTACTAATGTTGTAACATAACTGAAATATCAATTTTGTACATCTACTAATGCTGTAACATAGTTGAAATATCAAGTTCGTATATCTACTAATGTTGTAACATAACTGAAATATCAAGTATGTATATCTACTAATGTTGTAACATAACTGAAATATCAAGTATGTATATCTACTAATGTTGTAACATAACTGAAATATCAAGTATGTATATCTACTAGTGTTACAACCTATCTGACATGAAACATCTGCTCTTACATTCTAATTTATCCTCAGGTCGCCCCGCCTCCAACAAGGACAGGTAACTTACATTCTAATTTATCCTCAGGTCGCCCCGCCTCAAGCAAGGACAGGTAACTTACATTCTAATTTATCCTCAGGTCGCCCCGCCTCCAACAAGGACAGGTAACACACCAGGTCCTTCAGGTAGATGTGGCCAGCTTTGATCTCTAGGCTCATGGAACGATTGCGCACAGATTTGATCTCGTTGGCGCGAAGCAAGGAGGAGTTGGATTGCCGTATCCAAGGATCAGTACCGTCCAGCAAGGGACCTAAAAATGACAAGTATAGTGTAGTCTCAAACTAAATCCAAGGATCAGTACCGTCCAGCAAGGGACCCTAAAAATGACAAGTATAGTGTAGTCTTAAACTAAATCCAAGTATCAGTATCATCCATCAAGTGACCTAAAAATTACTATGTATCAGATGACCTACCATGGCTGTGGATACTGTGGTTTAACTTTTTGCAATGTATCAAATAAATTGTGACCTACCGTTGTTGTGGACGCTGTGGATGCTGTGATTTGACTTTTTGGAAGATGACCGAGAATGATTCGAAGCATCAGGTGGGGTGGAGTCATCTGGATGGTTCTTGTCCAGCGAGGAGGTGGCCGCCACAGCAAGGGACGGGTGACTGGCAGCTGAACCTGAACCTACGGTGGGAAAAGTTGTTCATGTTAGCCAGATTTTTTAAAATTTTCAGGTGCACATTGTTTTATGTTAGCCAGATTTTTTTTTATTTTCAGGTGCACATTGTTTTATGTTAGCCAGATTTTTAAAAATTTTCAGGTGCACATTGTTTTATGTTAGCCAGATTTTTAAAGAATATGTTGTTTAATGTTTGCCAGATTTTTTTACATTTTCATTTGAAATCAATATCATTCATAAATGTACTTGGATAATACCTTTCAATACAGGTATTATAATTTTGCACTATGAATATGTTAATAAAATATCTCACATCTCATAAATAACCTGGTTTAAAATTTTAAAGTGTGTGTTTTATCCACATTGTAAAGTTATTAATCTAAATAACTATTGATAAATATTTATAAAAAAATTTCAGCTTTCAACTAAATTAAGCATCATAAATTTTTATACTAGATTAGAGTTAAAACAGTAAAATAAGAGATAACTTCAAAATTCATAATAAAGATCAAATGCATAAACACTGTAGTGGATACATTTTTTTTAAAATCTTGAAACAGAAACAATAGAACAAATAAAAAAAAATAGAAATAAAACAAGCAACAATAGACAAATAAAGCATGCAGAGACAATCATCCTCTCAGCTCACTCCCAATATAATATGCCTCAATGCAACTGTCACAATATAACAAAACTAAACAGCCAATCAACGCATGGCTCTTAATGCAACTATCACAATATAACAAAACCAGCTTGTAACAGCCAATCAATGAAGAGAATGCATACAACAATAATAAAAATGTTTTTTGTAAATACACAAGAGCAGCTAGGTATGGGCTACCACATTCACTCATCTAGACAATCCCACAAGTGCAGCTTGGTATAGGCTTTCACATCCATTCATTCATTCAATAACAAATTCAACAATAGCAATTCACTACGCTAATATTTTTTAACTGCATCAAGAGCTTAAAAAACTAATAAATCAAACATAGCAAATGTTTGTGGTAATAGTGCTTGAAATCTTACATGATTAACTGACCAGCTTTTAGATACAACTAATGAACTTGTATAATGATGTTTTCAGGTCTAACCCATACACTGTTATCTAAACATCTGGATGATGTTTTTTTTGAATTAGAGAAAAATCATCTTCGTTTCCTGATGTACAATTTTAAAAGTGTTAAAAAGAGGATATCTGATGTAAAAATTTGTTGAAGGGGGTAGGAACTCAGTTCTTTACAATACTTCTAAAAAATCTTGTTGATAAACAAATTTGTTCCAAACAAATAGTTTTTGGATGACAGTCACCTGATCTGCACCAAACTAGACTTACACAATAAAAGTTGATTGTTGTTTCAAATTTAACCAAACAAATAGACTCACACAATAAAAGTTGATTGTTGTTTCAAATTTAACCAAACAAATAGACTCACACAATAAAAGTTGATTGTTGTTTCAAATTTAACCAAACTAGACTTACACAATAAAAGTTGATTGTTGTTTCAAATTTAACCAAACTAGACTTACACAATAAAAGTTGATTGTTGTTTCAAATTTAACCAAACTAGACTTACACAATAAAAGTTGATTGTTGTTTCAAATTTAACCAAACTAGACTTACACAATAAAAGTTGATTGTTGTTTCAAATTTAACCAAACTAGACTTACACAATAAAAGTTGATTGTTGTTTCAAATTTAACCAAACTAGACTTACACAATAAAAGTTGATTGTTGTTTCAAATTTAACCAAACAACTAGACTCACACAATTAAAAATGATTGTTCTTTCTGACTAAACTAAACTGCACTTTATTTACAAACTAGAAAACTTTTCAATATTAAAATGAACTTTTGAAAAAGTTGTAACAATTATTCTGCCAAGACAAATTAGTTTTATTTTACATGTACATAATGACAATTAAATATGATAGTGTTATTCACTAATAGAAATTACGAAAGTATGTATCATACAAAAACTGTGATGTAATAATTACATATAAAAAGAATGATTAGAAAATTGTACAACTGCTGATATAAAAAGATGTTTTGATATATTTATAAACTTCTGGTAAAGGTTGTCCATCAAAGACATCTCTCACACAACAGAGGGGGGAGGGAAAGAGGGGGGGTGGAATAAAGTATATAAAATTGGGTACCAGAGGGTCATTTAAACATTATTGTTTAAAAATATTTAAATAATAATAAACTACATTTGTCTACATTTCAATTGATACCAAGTTTAATTATTAAAATAAATTGTTGGCCATGAAAATGCTACATTAAAAAGGGATGTTATTAAATGGTCTCAAAACTAAAAAGTATTCCTTTTGTAATTGCTTGAATTTCCCCCCTTCCCCTGTTTTGGGCATAAGTTGTATTTACAAAATATATCTACAGGAGTTGGTGACATTGTCAAGTAATAATTTGATATAAACTCTAATTAAGTCATTAATTAAAACATGCACTACGCTTCCACCCTTAAAAAGAGTTATAACCTTCTGAACCAAATTAGCAAAAATATTGTTTTCATGACTGAGCTGTACATTTTCAAAATTTGGTTAGAATTAGAAGAATTTATTTGGATGCAGGGGTGAAGGGGTGAGACAGTAGAGGGTAGGGTAGTTTGTTAAGTCAGGGTGGGGGGGGGGGCTTTTAACATGGGATGATGGTACACTGTGGGGGTAGAAAAAATTATTTCAAATATTGCCTGCTCTCATTTATGAACAACACCTTTCAAATATTACCTGCTGTCATTTATGGACAACACCTTTCAAATATTGCCTGCTGTCATTTATGGACAACACCTTTCAAATATTGCCTGCTGTCATTTATGGACAACACCTTTCAAATATTGCCTGCTGTCATTTATGGACAACACCTTTCAAATATTGCTCGCTCTCATTTATGAAAAAACACCATACTAAAAATATAACTTGAACATTACAATGATGGTCTATTGGTTTCTAGTGAGCAAAGGTAAACACAAGTTTAAATGGATCAGTGAGTCGACTGTGTTTACAGCAACTGATCCAGTGATGGTGTTTTCTGATAACAACAACTCAGAATAGGGCAATTCTAACATCTTACTGCTATCTTTGGCTGGTACACCAGTTTAGAAACAAATTCAATTTAAATTTTAAAAGAAAACAAAAATTAACACCTTAAATATAAATATTTGCAAATGTTTAACTCCTATTTAGAAAAATAAAATTAGAAAACCAATAAATATTTGTAATCAGATGTGATTTTTTAAAAATGTATATTGTTACAATACCACAACATGTTACTAACTTTACTTACAGAAGAGGTTCACAAATGGGGAAAATGTATTTTATACCATTTGGAAAGGGGAAGACTAGAGATCATGCATTTGAAAAAAATGAGTATAAAAACATAAAGGGAGGGTCACAAAAAAAGGGGGTTAAGTAAGTACGCATGCAGCAAGCAATATAATTTATGTTGTAAAACACTGTATAAAGTATTCAGTACATTAGGGAGTCTACAAAATAGTTTTTTGACAAGTCTGATACAAAAATAGGAAAATAAATTGACTCAATGAATTGTCAAGTAAGTTTTATTGTAAGAGATGTGTATTTTCCTGACATACCATCTGCAGGACATTTTGTAAGGACACTAGCAGGACATTTTGTAAGGACACTAGCAGGACATTTTGTAAGGACACTATTGGACATTTTGTAAGGACACTAGCAGGACATTTTGTAAGGACACTAGCAGGACATTTTGTAAGGACACTATTGGACATTTTGTAAGGACACTATTGGACATTTTGTAAGGACACTAGCAGGACATTTTGTAAGGACACTAGCAGGACATTTTGTAAGGACACTAGCAGGACATTTTGTAAGGACACTGGCAGGACATTTTAGTTGGCCATATACCCAGTTGATCACATGTGAAACAGGCAGCAAGGTATATAAAAAGAGTAGGCACATAGTTGTAATTACGGAATACAAAAGAAAATATGAAAATAGATACGTCCAAACTGCCTTGAATTGTTTGAAAACAACACAAATATTTTATAAGAATTTTTTGCTAAGATTATAAATACAAGAGCAGAATGAAAATGAAAAAACTCAAAGAATTATTTATATCACTCATCTGAGAGTATCTCCAACATTTTCAAATAAACATTCAAAACTCTAATTACCATTCAGAGGACATTAAGATAGTTTGTCTACACCGAACTGAAAAGTATTTAAACTTTATCAAAAGACTGCGCCTGCGTGATAAAGTATGTACAATTTTTCAGAGAGAACTTTGATTCTTGAAAATTGAACAACAAAGAAAGGGTGGGGGGTGTAAAATAAAGCAATGCACTGAATATATTACCACCACTGCACAAGATGCTGAACTGTACACTACAGAATATAAAGGGATGTAAAAAAACATATACAGTACACAACCAGCAGAACCTCAAGAAAATAGATCTGTCCACCATCTACCTGCCCGGCTTCTCTTCCCAGAATCCCCTGCATTGCTGTCAGAGCGGGCGTGGCCCAGCCCGTGGAGCTTCTCTGTGAGACCGTGGAGTTTCTCCGCCAGCAGACTGTGATGCCTGCCATCCCCGGGGGCGGGGGAGGTTTTGCTGTCAATGTGGATCTCTGTGGACAAGGGGGCACAGATAGTCTGAGACGCTACCAGGGCCATGTCCTTGACATGAAAATCCTTACCCGAAGCTGTGAGGGCGGCTGCGGCTCCGGCTGCAGCCTTCTTCATGAAGGACAGGAACAGATGTTTGCATAAGTCTTCTGGGATCTCTGCCTCAAGGTACGTCTCCATGAACAGCTTAAAGCCAGCATAGTCGATGGGCTGGTCACACATATGGGGAGAGAGGGGAGATGTATTACTAACAAATGGGAGGTAATCTCAGAGGATCTATCCAAAATCTAACAAGACCTGTAAGGGGAGTTAACCATCATTAAAATGAGGAAAGAAAACATCTAGTAACTAATAGAAGCTGGTCATCGTGTGATGGAGGTACCCAGTATCTACAGTGAGGTTAAGGGTTAACACTGGGGGTCATGGACAAGGTCAAGGCTGGTCTATGGTCAGGGTAGTAATACTAACCAAATAAACAGCTTCAAGCTATTAAATTTGTTTACCTAAAATTTAAATTCGTTGAGTCTTATTACAGACATTAAAAACCATTTAAAAACTACGTTTTTGTGAGTTGTAAGGGGAAGTAAGTGAAAAGCCAGAAGTTACCTCCTCTGGGTTATACTTGCTGAGGACACCGTCTCCATTAAACTCTTCCAAGACATCTTTCAGCTTCTTGGAGGAATCTACAGATCAAGGACAGTATTAATGACATCTGGTTGACGTGTGCATGGTGTAGCTCTAATTGTAATAGCTAATTAGATTGGTAGGTAGAGAAACAAACTCAAAGCCATGTTTTATTGTTATCTTGTGCACTAGATCAAAATGACTGTCAGAAAAACACATAAAATTACATACAAGTAAATTATATATATATATATATATATATATATATATATATATATATATATATATATATATATATATATATATATATATATATATATATATATATATATACACGCACACACATAATTACAAGTCAAAGGTCTGAAAGTAATTAGCCTAAAACATTTAGCCTAAAGTATTACGCCTACACCTTTTGCTCAACGAAAAGGCTGGGGCAAGCAAGGCTAGGTTACAGCTATTGCGTAATCAAACACAAAATGGAGGGTAACGGCTTCATTAGTACATGGACGATAACGGCTCTATTATGGGGGGGGGGGAGTGGACATATAACCATAACGTTATTTTCTTAATTTTAACTACTGTAAATTGTAACGATGAGGGATTAATCTCAACTCCGTGCAGATAATTAATGTAAGATACAACAACAGATGTAATCTCAGAGTTGCTTCAACACAGGGCTAACTTGATCAAATCTTCCTGGCATCCAAAACACGTTCATCGTCTCCTGCCAACGTCATAGAGTTGTCTTCTACGTCATAACCGCTCGCAGCCGCGTCATTCTCACACTACACATAGCTTATTACAGCAAACACAAACTACTCTCCAACCCAATCTGATTGACACATCAGCTAATCAGCTGTCTAATAATTAGTGATTCATTAGTCCCTTCGTGTTGATAAACTGACCTAAACTTTTAGTGATTCATTAGTCCCTTCGTGTTGATAAACTGACCTAAACTTTTAGTGATTCATTAGTCCCTTCGTGTTGATAAACTGACCTAAACTTTTAGTGATTCATTAGTCCCTTCGTGTTGATAAACTGACCTAAACTTTTAGTGATTCATTAGTCCCTTCGTGTTTATATACTAACCTAAACTTTTAGTGATTCATTAGTCCCTTCGTGTTTATATACTAACCTAAACTTTCAGTGATTCATTAGTCCCTTCGTGTTGATAAACTGACCTAAACTTTTAGTGATTCATTAGTCCCTTCGTGTTTATATACTAACCTAAACTTTTAGTGATTCATTAGTCCCTTCGTGTTTATATACTAACCTAAACTTTTAGTGATTCATTAGTCCCTTCGTGTTTATAAACTGACCTAAACTTAGCCACACCGTGACCTTAGACCTACGTTTCAAACAAAAATTGACAACTCGTCAAACAGACGATTGGTGGACTGTCAACAACACCTAAACACACTCAAAGTGTTTTCCTGTCATAATTTAACAACAATCACAATGGGCAGGTCCAGACCACACATTCATTAGCCCCACACATTCATTAGCCCCACACATTCATTAGTCCCACACATTCGATAGCCACACACATTCATTAGCCCCACACATTCATTAGCCCCACACATTCATTAGCCCCACACATTCATTAGCCCCACACATTCATTAGCCCCACACATAGGTGGGCAGGTCAGACCACACATTCATTAGTCCCACACATTCGATAGCCACACACATTCATTAGCCCCACACATTCATTAGCCCCACACATTCATTAGCCCCACACATTCATTAGCCCCACATATTCATTAGCCCCACACATAGGCGGGCAGGTCCAGACCACACATTCATTAGCCCCACACATTCATTAGCCTCACACATTCATTAGCCCCACACATTGGCGGTCAGGTCAGACCACACATTCATTAGCCCCACACATTCATTAGCCCCACACATAGGCGGGCAGGTCCAGACCACACATTCATTAGCCCCACACATTCATTAGCCTCACACATTCATTAGCCCCACACATTGGCGGTCAGGTCAGACCACACATTCATTAGCCCCACACATTCATTAGCCCCACACATTGGCGGTCAGGTCAGACCACACATTCATTAGCCCCACACATTCATTAGCCCCACACATAGGCGGGCAGGTCCAGACCACACATTCATTAGCCCCACAAATCGGCGGGCCAGTGACTCATTTATGTCGTCATTTTACTCCAGAATAAATTACTGGCAGAGGTGTATAGAAAATGTGGATATTTAATGCCAGTATAAATTACTGGCAGTGGTGTATAGTAAATGTGGATATTTAATTCCAGTATAAATTACTGGCAGTGGTGTATAGAAAATGTGGATATTTAATTCCAGTATAAATTACTGGCAGTGGTGTATAGAAAATGTGGATATTTAATTCCAGTATAAATTACTGTCAGAGGTGTATAGTAAATGTTGAACTAAAATATCATGACAGCTGCCGATGCTTAGCTCACGTGACAAAACATGACAATCACCCATTTTTTTCGTAGGGGGAGTGGGGGACATATTTCTGGGGTGGGGTGGTTGAAGTATAAGTTGTGTGTGTAAATTCTACTTCCTTCTGAGTAGTGGGGGGGCATAACGTGACATCTCACTCGTGACACATAACGTGACAACTTACACGTGACAACTTACATGTGACACATAACGTGACAACTTACACGTGACAACTTACATGTGACACATAACGTGACAACTTACATGATGTGTACTCCTGAAGTTGATGAAACTCTGTCGGGCTGAGCTTTTGCCATTGTAGTAGAGACATGGTAGTTCCCACCTATCCAGGTAGTTGCCACCTATCCAGGTAGTTGCCACCTATCCAGGTAGTGCCACCTATCCAGGTAGTGCCACCTATCCAGGTAGTGCCACCTATCTAGGTAGTTCAAGTCGTTCAGGAGGTGGAGGGGCGACCAACACTGGAAAACTGATGAGTTAACCCCCTCTTATGATTAAACTCACTGCTGCCATTGTGATTTAGAAACGATTATCTCCCTTCTAAAATTGGGGAGTTATTCCGTTTTAAGCGTTGTAGCTTGTTGGAGTTGGTAATGGATAGCACTGTGTAAGGTGTGTCACTGTGTAGGGGGCAGCACAGTGTAGTGTGTAGAGGGCAGCACAGTGAAGTGTGTAGGGGGCAGCACAGTGTAGTGTGTAGAGGGCAGCACACAGCTCACAGGGCTTCCAACTTGCGACAGCGAGAACCGGCCTTATCCCATGATCGCTGGCCCGAGTGTACACGTCATAGAGCGTACACCAAACATGTACACAGACGTTCGGTCAGGCCAATCTGAGAAGGTAGATAAAAAAACAGAATTAAAGTCAGAATATACTAGCTAGCCTATCCGGTGACAGAAAAAAGTGTGGCGAGTAGAATCTACCAGACCATCGTGAAGAGTGTATTCAGCTAGATGCTGAACTAGACACAAACAGGCCAGGAACAATGGCTATTGATTCAACTATTGATTTCATGTTGAGAACACCTCCGTGTTACTCAACTCTAGAGTGAGCTGTAGGTACAGTAGAGTTGTGCTGAGTGTAGGTACAGTAGAGTTGTGCTGAGTGTAGATACAGTAGAGTTGAGCTGAGTGTAGGTACAGTAGAGTTGTGCTGAGTGTAGATACATTAGAGTTGTCCTGAGTGTAGGTACAGTAGAGTTGTGCTAGTGTAGGTACAGTAGATTTGTGCTGAGTCTAGATATGTAGGTACAGTAGAGTTGTGCTGAGTGTAGGTACAGCAGAGTTGTGCTGATTGTAGGTACAGTAGAGTTGTTCTGATTGTAGGTACAGTAGAGTTGAGCTGAATGTAGGTAGGTAGGTACAGTAGAGTTGTGCTGAGTGTAGGTACAGCAGAGTTGTGCTGATTGTAGGTACACACATATTTTAAAAAACTAAACAAAAGAAAAGACTATTAACACTTGTTGACGTGTACAGCCCCATTTCAAGTGGCCCAGGCCTAAACTGAGGTGTACATCCCCTCTTTAATAAGTACATCTTTAACGGGTACCTCTGATACGGTTACCTCTGTAATGGGTAGCACAGACGGAAAACGTAATGAAATGTTCACTGAAGTTTGTATCTCATGAACGGGGCACACTACTCTACCTCATCGTCACAGAATGTAAGCCCCACCCCTTCGCTCTCTTTTAAACTGACCCCCCCCCCCTTTCCACACGCACACATAATTTCAATATTTAAAAAAGCCGTTTATTTCTAGGTTAGTTGAGTTCTTTCCCTTTGGTATGGACATTCCAGTGTGCTAACTTGGTGAATTCTTGAATTCTGACCAAAACATGGATAATCTCTATACAATCCTGACAATTTCAGCACAAAATTAGGTGCATTAATCCATATTACAATAGAAATAGCTTTGTTCGACTTGTCTCGATACACACGGGGAAAAGATTCCGTTTAGTGACACGTACACAGTGTTGCTATCCATGTCCACATGTATCCATATCCACATGTATCCATATCCACATCTATCCATGTCCACATTTATCCATGTCCACATCTATCCATGTCCACATCTATCCATGTCCACATCTATCCATGTCCACATTTATCCATGTCCACATTTATCCATGTCCGCCACATGTCCATCTCCCCATGTATCCATGTCCACATCTATCCATGTCCACATTTATCCATGTCCGCCACATGTCCATCTCCCCATGTATCCATGTCCACATGTATCCATGTCCACATCTATCCATGTCCACATCTATCCATGTCCACATCTATCTATGTCCACATCTATCCATGTCCACATCTATCCATGTCCACATCTATCCATGTCCACATCTATCCATGTCCACATCTATCCATATCCACATCTATCCATGTCCACATCTATCCATGTCCACATCTATCCATGTCCACATCTATCCATGTCCGCCACATGTAACCATCTCCCCATGTATCCATATCCACATCTATCCATGTCCACATTTATCCATGTCCACATTTATCCATGTCCACATCTATGCGTGTCCACATCCACATGTATCCATATCCACATGTATCCATGTCCACATCTATCCATGTCCACATTTATCCATGTCCACATCTATCCATGTCCACATTTATCCATGTCCACATCTATCCATGTCTACATTTATCCATGTCCACATTTATCCATGTCCACATTTATCCATGTCCACATCTATCCATGTCCACATCTATCCATGTCCACATCTATCCATGTCCACATTTATCCATGTCCACATCTATCCATGTCCACATTTATCCGTGTCCACATCCACATGTATCCATATCCACATGTATCCATATCCACATCTATCCATGTCCACATCTATCCATGTCCACATCTATCCATGTCCACATTTATCCATGTCCACATCTATCCATGTCCACATTTATCCATGTCCACATCTATCAATGTCCACATCTATCCATGTCCACATTTATCCATGTCCACATCTATCCATGTCCACATCTATCCATGTCCACATCTATCCATGTCCACATTTATCCATGTCCACATCTATCCATGTCCACATTTATCCGTGTCCACATCCACATGTATCCATATCCACATGTATCCATATCCACATCTATCTATGTACACATCTATCCATGTCCATATCCACATCTATCCATGTCCACATCTATCCATGTCCACATCTATCCATGTCCACATCTATCCATGTCCACATCTATCCATGTCCACATTTATCCATATCCACATCTATCCATATCCACATCTATCCATGTCCACATTTATCCATGTCCACATCTATCAATGTCCACATCTATCCATGTCCACATTTATCCATGTCCACATCTATCCATGTCCACATTTATCCGTGTCCACATCCACATGTATCCATATCCACATGTATCCATGTCCACATCTATCCATGTCCACATCTATCCATGTCCACATTTATCCATGTCCACATCTATCCATGTCTACATTTATCCATGTCCACATTTATCCATGTCCACATTTATCCATGTCCACATCTATCCATGTCCACATCTATCCATGTCCACATCTATCCATGTCTACATCTATCCATGTCCACATTTATCCATGTCCACATCTATCCATGTCCACATTTATTCGTGTCCACATCCACATGTATCCATATCCACATGTATCCATATCCACATCTATCTATGTACACATCTATCCATGTCCATATCCACATTTATCCATGTCCACATGTATCCATGTCCACATCTATCCATGTCCACATCTATCCATGTCCATATCTATCCATGTCCATATCTATCCATGTCCACATCTATCCATGTCCACATCTATCCATGTCCACATCTATCCATATCCACATCTATCCATATCCACATCTATCCATATCCACATCTATCCATGTCCAAATATATCCATGTCCACCGGCTGAAGAAACCCCCACCGGTACTCGCGATCACGTGACTAATGTTGCCAGCTGTTCCACTGGCCACCAGTCGCTGGACTTGTGTCGACTGGTCACGGTACGTCACCGTGAATCACGTGATGAGTTCTGAAGCAAGAACCAGCACCGACCCGCTGGACCGTGAACACAGACCGTGCATGTTGGGTACTCACACTCAACGAGGAGAGAACACATACGATGTGAGCTGTGAGATTTTCAAAACCTGCCGCAACGGTTTGAGATTGGAATGATTTTAATTCTCCCGTATGCGATGTGTTTGGGCCCAGATAATGGCAAGTTGAGAAAAGCCAGGTGTATCATCCGCCCACTCCCCCGTCCCACGCCTCCACGCCTTGGGCCTTTCTACAGTCACGTGCCAAATAGTCAGCAACAGCCCAGTGGTGTGATGTTGTGTACAGCCAACAGCCCAGTGGTGTGATGTTGTGTACAGCCAACAGCCTACTGATGTGATGTTGTGTACAGCCAACAGCCCAGTGGTGTGATGTTGTGTACAGCCAACAGCCTACTGATGTGATGTTGTGTACAGCCAACAGCCCAGTGGTGTGATGTTGTGTACAGCCAACAGCAACAGCCCAGCGGTGTGATGTTGTGTACAGCCAACAGCCCAGTGGTGTGATGCTGTGTACAGCCAACAGCCCAGTGGTGTGATGTTGTGTACAGCCAACAGCAACAGCCCAGTGGTGTGATGTTGTGTACAGCCAACAGCCCAGTGGTGTGATGTTGTGTACAGCCAACAGCAACAGCCCAGCGGTGTGATGTTGTGTACAGCCAACAGCCCAGTGGTGTGATGTTGTGTACAGCCAACAGCCCAGTGGTGTGATGTTGTGTACAGCCAACAGCCCAGTGGTGTGATGTTGTGTACAGCCAACAGCAACAGCCCAGTGGTGTGATGTTGTGTACAGCCAACAGCCCAGTGGTGTGATGTTTTGTACAGCCAACAGCCCAGTGGTGTGATGTTGTGTACAGCCAAAAGCAACAGCCCATTGGTGTGATGTTGTGTACAGCCAACAGCAACAGCCAACAGCAACAGCCCAGTGGTGTGATGTTGTGTACAGCCAACAGCCCAGTGGTGTGATGTTGTGTACAGCCAACAGCAACAGCTCAGCGGTGTGATGTTGTGTACAGCCAACAGCAACAGCCCAGTGGTGTGATGTTGTGTACAGCCAACAGCCCAGTGGTGTGATGTTGTGTACAGCCAACAGCCCAGTGGTGTGATGTTGTGTACAGCCAACAGCCCAGTGGTGTGATGTTGTGTACAGCCAACAGCACAGTGGTGTGATGTGTACAGCCAACAGCACAGTGGTGTGATGTGTACAGCCAACAGCCCAGTGGTGTGATGTGTACAGCCAACAGCCCAGTGGTGTGATGTTGTGTACAGCCAACAGCCCAGCGGTGTGATGTTGTGTACAGCCAACAGCAACAGCACAGTGGTGTGATGTGTACAGCCAACAGCACAGTGGTGTGATGTTGTGTACAGCCAACAGCAACAGCCCAGTGGTGTGATGATGTGTACAGCCAACAGCACAGTTGTGTGATGTTGTGTACAGCCAACAGCCCAGTGGTGTGATGTTGTGTACAGCCAACAGCCCAGTGGTGTGATGTTGTGTACAGCTATTAGAAACAGCCCGCCAACCACTCGATATTTATTTACACGCTCGTGTTTTCAGCGACCATTGACTGACACCGGCTCTGCAGGTTTTACACCCCACAGGCATCACTTCCGGTGTTAAACTACATCCGGGCGAGGGGGCAACATTCTATTCCCGCCCCGCTCCCAGCACTGAGGAACATAAACAGACTAGACTGGGTCGCCACTGGGTACACAGTCGGGGCGAGTGTTCCGCCGACATTAGCGCTAGTTTTTACTGCCAGTTGAGGGAAGGTTAACAACGCCGTCAAGATGTCTTCATTAGACCGGAAGTTGAGCTACAAATTTAACGAGCAGACGAAAGCTGGGATACACATAATTAATGAATCCAATCAGATTGATCCGCTGGCTAACGTCTAGTCAAGGCCTAATTGGCGTGTTACCTGCTGACGTGCACGGAACGTTTACACGGATGCCGGGAGAGGACGACACCTTGGATACAGGTGTTCCACAGGTACCCAGAGGTATTAGTGATGGACAAAACACCAGGTATGGACAAAACACCAGGTACCCACAGTAATTACTGATGGACAAAACACCAGGTACCCACACGAATTACTGATGGACAAAACACCAGGTAAAGACAGGAATTACTGATGGACAAAACACCAGGTACCCACAGTAATTACTGATGGACAAAACACCAGGTAAAGACAGGAATTACTGATGGACAAAACACCAGGTACCCACAGTAATTACTGATGGACAAAACACCAGGTAAAGACAGGAATTACTAATGGACAAAACACCAGGTACCCACAGGAATTACTGATGGACAAAACACCAGGTAAAGACAGGAATTACTAATGGACAAAACACCAGGTACCCACAGGAATTACTGATGGACAAAACACCAGGTACCCACAGTAATTACTGATGGACAAAACACCAGGTAAAGACAGGAATTACTAATGGACAAAACACCAGGTACCCACAGGAATTACTGATGGACAAAACACCAGGTACCCACAGTAATTACTGATCGACAAAACACCAGGTAAAGACAGGAATTACTGATGGACAAAACACCAGGTACCCACAGTAATTACTGATGGACAAAACACCAGGTAAAGACAGGAATTACTAATGGACAAAACACCAGGTACCCACAGGAATTACTGATGGACAAAACACCAGGTACCCACAGGAATTACTGATGGACAAAACACCAGGTACCCACACGAATTACTGATGGACAAAACACCAAGTAAAGACAGGAATTACTAATGGACAAAACACCAGGTACCCACAGGAATTACTGATGGACAAAACACCAGGTACCCACAGGAATTACTGGGAGGCAGTAGCCGGGGCCACACGTGTAATGGGAGGCAGTAGCCGGGGCCACACGTGTAATGGCAGGCAGTAGCCGGGGCCACACGTGTAATGGCAGACAGTAGCCGGGGCCACACGTGTAATGGCAGGCAGGCAGTAGCCGGGGCCACATGTGTAATGGCAGGCAGTAGCCGGGGCCACACGTGTAATGGCAGGCAGTAGCTGGGGCCACATGTGTAAAGGCAGGCAGTAGCCGGGGCCACACGTGTAATGGCAGGCAGTAGCCGGGGCCACATGTGTAATGGCAGGCAGTAGCCGGGGCCACACGTGTAATGGCAGGCAGGCAGTAGCCGGGGCCATATGTGTAAAGGCAGGCAGTAGCCGGGGCCACACGTGTAATGGCAGACAGTAGCCGGGGCCACACGTGTAATGGCAGGCAGGCAGTAGCCGGGGCCACATGTGTAAAGGCAGGCAGTAGCCGGGGCCACATGTGTAATGGCAGGCAGTAGCTGGGGCCACATGTGTAAAGGCAGGCAGTAGCCGGGGCCACACGTGTAATGGCAGGCAGTAGCCGGGGCCACATGTGTAATGGCAGGCAGTAGCCGGGGCCACACGTGTAATGGCAGGCAGGCAGTAGCCGGGGCCATATGTGTAAAGGCAGGCAGTAGCCGGGGCCACACGTGTAATGGCAGACAGTAGCCGGGGCCACACGTGTAATGGCAGGCAGGCAGTAGCCGGGGCCACATGTGTAAAGGCAGGCAGTAGCCGGGGCCACATGTGTAAAGGCAGGCAGTAGCCGGGGCCACATGTGTAAAGGCAGGCAGTAGCTGGGGCCACATGTGTAAAGGCAGGCAGTAGCCGGGGCCACACGTGTAATGGCAGACAGTAGCCACACGTGTAAAGGCAGGCAGTAGCCGGGGCCACACGTGTAATGGCAGGCAGTAGCTGGGGCCACACGTGTAATGGCAGACAGTAGCCGGGGCCACACGTGTAATGGCAGCCAGTAGCTGGGGCCAGCCCTGGAAGCCCCTCCACTTTTCGCAACGACAAATTGCATTAGCGCATAATGATGACTGGCAGTCAGAAGGTGATTAGTGCTTCACGCGCTGGACTTTAGGCTGGGGAGTGGGGGGGGGGGGGGGGACACGGTGACATGTATGCTGGACGGCAGGGCTCGTGCTAGGGGGTCAGGGAGGGGAGGCACGTGAAACTGACAATTGAGGGGGGGGCAATGTTTCCTACAGCTGACATTCGATCAGGACAGTATGACCGCAATGGATATCGCTTGTTAAGTCAATAGTAACATACAAAGTCTTTAGATACTATCATTTAGCGAATAACCTCAGATACTATCATTTAGCGAGTATCCTTGGATACTATCATTTAGCGAATAACCTCACTATCATTTAGCGATTATGCTTAGATTATCATTAGATTATCCTACATAGAGAGGCAGATTAGGAGAATATAAACATACTAAGTTCATATACCGAAGTGTATCTGTGTTAGAGAATGTAAAAATACTACTACTGGAGTGTATCTGTGTTACAGAATGTAAACATACTACTACTGGAGTGTATCTGTGTTACAGAATGTAAACATACTACTACTGGAGTGTATCTGTGTTACAGAATGTAAACATACTACTACTGGAGTGTATCTGTGTTACAGAATGTAAACGTACTACTACTGGAGTGTATCTGTGTTACAGAATGTAAACATACTACTACTGGAGTGTATCTGTGTTACAGAATGTAAACGTACTACTACTGGAGTGTATCTGTGTTACAGAATGTAAACATACTGCTACTGGAGTGTATCTGTGTTACAGAATGTAAACATACTACTACTGGAGTGTGTCTGTGTTACAGAATGTAAACATACTACTTCTGGAGTGTATCTGTGTTACAGAATGTAAACATACTACTACTGGAGTGTATCTGTGTTACAGAATGTAAACATACTACTACTGGAGTGTATCTGTGTTACAGGATGTAAACATACTACTACTGGAGTGTATCTGTGTTACAGAATGTAAACATACTACTACTGGAGTGTATCTGTGTTACAGGATGTAAACATACTACTGCTGGAGTGTGTCTTTGTTACAGAATGTAAGTAGGGATAAAAAACATCGCCCACTATCGACCAGGCAAAAACCGGTAGATTGCCTACACCGACCATGATAACAGCAACTAACTGCCTATTTTAGGCACGGTAAAATGCCTCATTAGGCAGGAAAAAATGCCTACTTTAGGCAGGTAAAAATGCCTACTTTAGGCAGGTAAAAATGCCTACTTTATGCACGGTAAAAATGCCTCCTTAGGCAAGGTAAAAATGCCTACTTTAGGCACCGTAAAAATGCCTTCCACCACCCTGCTTAGGTTTCATCAATTTCGTATTGACTGTTAAATTGGCGTGTAAATGCCAATGCTTAGTTTGAGGCTATTTATAGCATAAGACATGCATTGATCGGATCAATGCGCACAAATTTGCAGCTTGCGTATTTGAAGGCTTTCTCTAAGGTTGGCTGGCATCAATGACAGGCAAACATTTTAAAATGTCACTCAGTTTTAACATGTCCGCCTTGTCTTATTTTCAAATGAGCTTTTAAGAAAAAACTTGAGAGACTAGTGATGCATTTTTTAAAAATCAGCATAGGATAGTTGGTCCCGTGGACACACTGACCGACACAATGGACAACAGACCGACACAATGGACAACAGACTGACACAATGGACAACACACTGACCGACACAATAGACAACAGACTGACCGACACAATAGACAACACACTGACCGACACAATGGACAACGGACTGACCGACACAATGGACAACGGACTGACCGACGGACTGACCGACACAATGGACAACAGACTGACCGACACAATGGACAACACACTGACCGACACAATGGACAACACACTGACCGACACAATGGACAACACACTGACCGACACAATGGACAACAGACTGACCGACACAATGGACAACGGACTGACCGACACAATGGACAACACACTGACCGACACAATGGACAACACACTGACCGACACAATGGACAACACACTGACCGACACAATGGACAACACACTGACCGACACAATGGACAACACACTGACCGACACAATGGACAACAGACTGACCGACACAATGGACAACACACTGACCGACACAATGGACAACGCACTGACCGACACAATGGACAACAGACTGACCGACACAATGGACAACGCACTGACCGACACAATGGACAACAGACTGACCGACACAATGGACAACGGACTGACCGACGGACTGACCGACACAATGGACAACGGACTGACCGACACAATGGACAACAGACTGACCGACACAATGGACAACAGACTGACCGACACAATGGACAACGGACTGACCGACACAATGGACAACAGACTGACCGACACAATGGACAACAGACTGACCGACACAATAGACAACACACTGACCGACACAATGGACAACAGCCTAATACAAATGACACTAGAATGACCACAACTAATGACACGAGAATGACTGACACACAGAACTAGGTTGGTAAAATGATAGACACGGAACTAGGTTGGTAAAATGACTGCCCTCTGAATATCGATCGAATGTTTCCTTGGCCCAAATAAAAGAAATAGCATCTGTTTTTTTTTGTCTCTCATGCGGCCGAGTTGTACTAGAATCTAGATCTCGTTGTTCTAGATCTCGTTGTTCAAGATCTCGTTGTTCTAGATCTCGTTGTTCTAGATCTCGTTCTAGATCCCGTTGTTCTAGATCCCGTTGTTCTAGATCCCGTTGTTCTAGATCTCGTTGTTCTAGTTCTGGTTGTTCTAGATCTCGTTGTAAAGCGTATGTAGTTTATATTCAATGATATATTTAACGTGTATGTAGTTTATATTCAATGATATATTTAACGTGTATGTAGTTTATATTCACTCAGCATGCCTGTAATTTTAAATATTTGATGTACTGAACGTGACTCGTTTAAATTAACAATAGTTGACCAGAACTGTTATAGTTACACAACTTATCTTGAACTGACCAGTACTCCAATAGCCCCAACTGTACCTTGTATGGTGTACTTAGTACCACGTCGGCCAATCAAATATCTGTACCGTGGTCTAGGCCAAATATCTGTACCGTGATCTAGGCCAAATATCTGTACCGTGATCTAGTCCAAATATCTGTACCGTGATCTAGGCCAAATATATGTACCGTGATCTAGGCCAAACGTGTAACGCCCCGCCCTCCCCACAGATTAGCGAATATTAATGACTAATTAGCCAGTGTATGACCAGCACGATCTAACAGGACAATAACCGGCTAATAGACGGACATTAACACCCAATGAAAAGAATGCTGATGACCACGTGTCATAAGGGATGGACGGTCGTCTCCACAATGACTCTCGTTAAACGATTTTTTGTTTAGATTGAGGCGGTTGGTCATTGTGGTAGTGTGGACCAAGTGGTCATTGTGTTAGTGTGGACCAAGTGGTCATTGTGGTAGTGTGGACAAAGTGGTCATTGGGGTAGTGTGGACCAACTGGACCAAGTGGTCATTGGGGTAGTGTGGACCAAGTGGTCATTGTGGTAGTGTGGACCAAGTGGTCATTGTGGTAGTGTGGACAAAGTGGTCATTGGGGTAGTGTGGACCAACTGGACCAAGTGGTCATTGGGGTAGTGTGGACCAAGTGGTCATTGGGGTAGTGTGGACAAAGTGGTCATTGGGGTAGTGTGGACCAACTGGACCAAGTGGTCATTGGGGTATTATGGACCAAGTGGTCATTGTGTTAGTGTGGACCAAGTGGTCATTGGGGTAGTGTGGACTAACTGGACCAAGTGGTCATTGGAGTAGTGTGGACATTGTGGTAGTGTGGACATTGGAGTAGTGTGGACCAAGCGAAAATAACGATGTATGCTAACAATCCCATAGCTAATGGAAGACACCCTATCACAAAAAGAAGATGCAGCAGTTTGAAAGAGTGTGAAAATGGAGCAGTTTAGGACTGCAATCTGCATGCAGTGGCTTCCGCCCCCCCCCCCCCCCCCCCCGAGACCAGACTAAATATTTGTACACAATAGGACGAGCGCAAGTCTCAACAATCGCACTCAGCGCCAAGTCGATTAGCGCTGTGACGAATTATACTGGTACATACACATACAACTGTCGGATATTACATAGGGACATACACATACAACTGTTGGATATTACATAGGGACATACACATACAACTGTCGGATATTACATAGGGACATACACATACAACTGTCGGATATTACATAGGGACATACACATACAACTGTCGGATATTACATAGGGACATACACATACAACTGTCGGATATTACATAGGGACATACACATATAACTGTCGGATATTATACACGGACATACACATACAACTGTTGGATATTACATAGGGACATACACATACAACTGTCGGATATTACATAGGGACATACACATACAACTGTCGGATATTACATAGGGACATACACATACAACTGTCGGATATTATACACGGACATACACATACAACTGTTGGATATTACATAGGGACATACACATACAACTGTTGGATATTACATAGGGACATACACATACAACTGTCGGATATTCAACAAGGGGGACACAATCCTGCAGAGCCCCCCCCCCCCCACCGGCGAATCAACTCTAGCATTTGTCCGGACGTCTGAACGAAGGTTGCTGGACATCAGATACTGATGGCTGTGGGTTAGATGACCTCTGGTTCACATGCAATTAACGGCGACAAGCCTTCGATGACCTTTAACCCGCGAGCGAAGTGCCACCAGCCCGTCACAAACCCAACGAAAAACAAGCGAGTGAATTATTAATGCCCAAAAGGATACCCCCACTCCGGGGGCCGGCCCGCAAACAGGGAGTCAACTTGGCTGATGGGCGGAAATTGGCCGAAGAAATGCATCAGTTAACGAATGCGCAGGATCGCGGTGTGGGCTGATTAATTAAACAAGCGATGGGTAACGCGCCCGAACTGATACAGTTGTTTCGCCAGCGGCTTCGTATGTCGAACGATGCAGTCGCTTGCTTCACAAGCAGAAGCTGACACTTTAAAAAAATGGAACGGGAGTTTCAAAACTCCACGCGAGAAAAGGGGTTAATGAGATCTTGTAGACTAAGAACTAAAAATGTTAACATCAGGATATGAAAGGGTTAACGCTCAGACCGTGGGTGGTCGCTTTATGGATGAGGTAAAACTGACCCCGTGGGACCCAACGATTGATGGTAAGATTTCACAGGGATTAACGTGAATAAATGATCGGACGCCAGCCAGGACCACTGATGCACGCTACCAACTAATGTTTATGGTCCATTATTGCAAAACACATAGTATTACTGAAAAGAACATCTACGGCAAAATAGAAAAACAACACGACATAAAAGAACCACTACGACAGAAAAGAACCACTACGACAGAAAAGAACCACTCGATATAAAGGAACTATTAGAATTACCATACAGACTTACCTTGAATGTATGCTAAATCAAACGTTATAAAAATCCAAGATATACTGTTGAGAAAATAAAATAAAAAAATGTAAATGTCTTGTTAACTATTCACAACTTAATTTGAAATTTTTTGACTAGGGGTTCTGGTTGTATGATATATGGCTGAGGAAAATATACTTCAGTATCAAACACACAAACAGAGAAACAAACAAATAAAGAAAACTATTGCAACCGTCAGCCTCACAACGACTGTCCATAGATCTACATACGTGCTGAGTATAGAAACAACGACTGTCCATAGACGTGCTGAGTATAGAAACAACGACTGTCCATAGATCTACATACGTGCTGAGTATAGAAACAACGACTGTCCATAGATCTACATACGTGCTGAGTATAGAAACAACGACTGTCCATAGACGTGCTGAGTATAGAAACAAGCACAAGTATTTTTTCCAACGAATTCCTCCATGCGGAACATCGGATATTTTTAATTGTTACTGTTGAGTTTAGTACTCTGATGCATTATGATTCCCGAAGTCGCGATACAATTTTCAGACCAGACGCCATCTCTGAACTGCGAGACATTTACACTCTGAACCGGACGCCATCTGAGAAAAAAATTGCGAGACATCTACGCTCTGAACCAGACGCCATCTCTGAACAGCGAGACATTTACACTCTGAACCGGACGCCATCTGAGAAAAAAATTGCGAGACATCTAAACTCCGAACCAAAGCCAACTGAGAAAAAATTGCGAGACATCTAAACTCCGAACCAAAGCCAACTGAGAAAAAACTGCGAGACATCTAAACTCTGAACCGGGCGCCATCTGAGAAAAAAATTGCGAGACATCTAAACTCCGAACCAAAGCCAACTGAGAAAAAACTGCGAGACATCTAAACTCCGAACCGGGCGCCATCTGAGAAAATATTGCGAGACATCTAACTCGGAGCCAATGCCATCAGAGGAAAAAAAAACTGAGACATCTAAATGTCTTTGAAAGATATTAAACAATGTTTAACAGACAAAACAAGGCGCCAGACAAATTGTTAAAAAGTATAATCAAAACAGGGGAAACAAAACGCATTCAGTTGGTTTTATTCCTGCGTGAAACGTTTTGATTCTAAACACCAAGTTTACATACAACACTAGATAAACGTGAAACGTTTTGATTCTAAACACCAAGTTTACATACAACACTAGATAAACGTGAAATGTTTTGATTCTAAACACCATGTTAAGTACAACACTAGATAAACAAGCCAGTAGTTTGATTAGGTTTCTTTCAATTCGATCACACGGAAATCATGCAGGTTAACGTGTGGGAACAGCAATAAAACAATGGCGGCCGGCTTCTCAACAGAATTAGTACAATTATTCCATTGTTCGGCGAGACTGTTTATCTGGTTTTTTAATACCAACTGAGCTACTCAGAAGCTAACGTTATTTTTATATTTAATTTGATGCAGTTATGGAGTTTTGATGCAGTTATTACGTTAGCCTTGTTTGTCTATAACATAGGTTGTATCTAAACTGTATCCGCCTGTATGTAACCTATGGTGGGTGGTGATCAAATGCCACACTATAACATCTTTGTAGTCTGTTTTCATTCATGTATTTTTTTTTCACAAATGTGAGCTACTTGTTTCCTGATTAAACGTGTCATTTCCCCAAGACCTCACCAACTACAGCTAGACGTAGTTTCTGGGCCGGGTACCAGAAACATTGTACCGGAAACATTGTACTTTACATGCTCATGGCTTTTCCATGTGTGTACACACTTGTATATCAGCGATGTGTACACACTTGTATATCGGCTATGTGAGTACACACGTGTATATCAGCGACGTGTGTACACACGTGTTTACCACTACCAGCGACGGTCAACTGGTCATCTAATTTAGAGAAGTCAGCCACAGAGTGTAGATAAAAGCCATCAAGAAAATGTCAGGCTCTTGCTCGTGATGACCTTGAAGTAACATGAAGTCACAATCATGAATGATGGAGTCACAATCATGAATGATGGAGAAACAATCATGTATAAAGTAGACTTTAGACACAATCATGTCTAAAGTAAAATGTAGACACAAACATGTCTAAAGTAGAATGGAGACACAAACATGTCTAAAGTAGAATGGAGACAATCATGTCTTAAGTAGACTTTAGATACAATCATGTCTAAAGTAAAATGTAGACACAAACATGTCTGAAGTAGAATGGAGAAACAATCATGTCTAGAGTAGAATGGAGACGCAATCATCTCTAAAGTAAACATGTAGATACAATCATGTCTTTTATCTTGGTAAGCCAGTCAGATGTTCTATTTTTAGCCACAAATCTTTTACTTCCGGGTTGAGAGGCGCACAAAGAACCCATCAAAAATCAATAACCCTTTAAAACAAAACGCCTACACATAATGGCGGTTAAGTTCAGCAATTGGGAGACATAAGGTAGTTAGTACAATTTTTTTTAAAGGGGGGGGGGGGGAAGGGTGGTTGTAGTGTGGACAGTGTCTGTTGGTTGTACTGTGTAGGTTGTACTGTGTAGGTGGTAATGTGTAGGTGGTACTGTGTAGGTTGTACCGTGTAGGTTGCACTGTGTAGGTTGTAATGTGTAGGTGGTACTGTGTAGGTTGTACCGTGTAGGTTGCACTGTGTAGGTTGTAATGTGTAGGTGGTAATGTGTAGGTGGTACTGTGTAGGTTGTACCGTGTAGGTTGCACTGTGTAGGTTGTAATGTGTAGGTGGTACTGTGGGCAGTGTGTGAAGGTTGTACTGTGTAGGTTGTACTGTGCAGGTTGTACTGTGTAGGCTGTACTGAGTAGGTTGTACTGTGTAGGTTGTACTGTGTAGGTTTTACTGTGGGCAGTGTGTGTAACGAGCGACCATAGCAGACCTACTGTAGATTGTTGTAGGTATGTTGCCATGGCAACTCAGTGGTGTCAATATGAAAGTACCAATGTTTTTATTTTACAGTATGTTAGAAGGACATGTTCGCAATGACCAACTAAAATATATTACTTTATTTTAGACTTTCAATGATACGATGGATGGGCGGGGGGTGGGGGGGGGTCTCTGATTTCAACAAACGCAATGACAAAGTAAAAGCGGCGTGCACTGTTTAAATGAGCTACACACAGGTCTGCTTAGTTACGTGATTAAGTGTCGGGTGGCTCCCCCTACAGAAGGTGGCTCCCCCTACAGAAGGTGGCTCCCCCTACAGAAGGTGGCTCCCCTTATATAGGATTGCTCCCCCTAAAGAGGGTGGCTCCCCCTACAGAAGGTGGCTCCCCTTATATAGGATGGCTCCCCCTAAAGAGGCTGGCTCCCCCTACAGAAGGTGGCTCCCCTTATATAGGATGGCTCCCCCTAAAGAGGGTGGCTCCCCCTACAGAAGGTGGCTCCCCTTATATAGGATTGCTCCCCCTAAAGAGGGTGGCTCCCCCTACAGAAGGTGGCTCCCCTTATATAGGATGGCTCCCCCTACAGAAGATGGCTCCCCCTACAGAAGGTGGCTCCCCCTAAAGAGGGTGGCTCCCCATAAAGAGGGCGGCTCCCCCTCAAGAAGGTGACTCCCCTACAGAAGGTGGCTCCCCTTATATAGGATGGCTCCCCCTAAAGAGGGCGGCTCCCCCTACAGAAGGTGGCTCCCCCTACAGAGGGCGGCTCCCCCTAAAGAGGGTGGCACCCCCTAAAGAGGGTGGCTCCCCTTACAGAAGGTGGCTCCCCCTACAGAAGGTGGCTCCCCCTACAGAGGGTGGCTCCCCTACAGAAGGTGGCTCCCCTACAGAGGGTGGCTCCCCTACAGAAGGTGGCTCCCCTACAGAGGGTGGCTCCCCCTACAGAGGGTGGCTCCCCCTACAGAGGGTAGCTCCCCTACAGAAGGTGGCTCCCCCTACAGAGGGTGGCTCCCCCTATAGAGGGTGGCTCCCCCTACAGAAAGTGGCTCCCCCTACAGAGGGTGGCTCCCCCTACAGAGGGTGGCTCCCCTTGGCGAGGGCGCCTGATGTAATGTTGCCTGGCAACCCTTTCGATCCCCGCTGATGTCCCCAATAATATGTTAGTAGCATCAAGGGATGGCACACGACATTGATTTTACCATTAGGATAAGACGGCTATGTCGATTTCATGAATGACGTCTGTCCAAGTTCACCCGACCGCAGTCGTGTCAGATAGGCGCGGTTCACAGGATGTAGACAGGTAGGTCTAGTCAAGTAGGTATTGACCACAGGATGTAGACAGGTAGGCCTGTTGGTCAAGCAGATATTGACCACAGGATGTAGACAGGTAGGTCTTTGGTCAAGCAGGTATTGACCACAGGATTTAGACAGGTAGGTCTTTGGTCAAGCAGATATTGACCACAGGATGTAGACAGGTAGGTCTTTGGTCAAGCAGGTATTGACCACAGGATTTAGACAGGTAGGTCTTTGGTCAAGCAGGTATTGACAACAGGATGTAGACAGGTAGGTCTGTTGGTCAAGCAGGTATTGACCACAGGATGTAGACAGGTAAATCTATTGGTCAAGCAGGTATTGACCACAGGATGTAGACAGGTAAATCTATTGGTCAAGCAGGTATTGACCACATGATGTAGACAGATAGGTATGTTGGTCAAGTAGGTATTGACCACAGGATGTAGACAGGTAGGTCTTGTCAAGCAGGTATTGACCACATGATGTAGACAGATAGGTATGTTGGTCAAGCAGGTATTGACCACAGGATGTAGACAGGTAAATCTATTGGTCAAGCAGGTATTGACCACAGGATGTAGACAGGTAAATCTATTGGTCAAGCAGGTATTGACCACAGGATGTAGACAGGCAGGTCTGTTGGTCAAGCAGGTATTGACCACAGGATGTAGACAGGTAGGTCTTTGGTCAAGCAGGTATTGACCACAGGATTTAGACAGGTAGGTCTTTGGTCAAGCAGGTATTGACAACAGGATGTAGACAGGTAGGTCTGTTGGTCAAGCAGTTATTGACCACAGGATGTAGACAGGTATGTCTGTTGGTCAAGCAGGTATTGACCACAGGATGTAGACAGGTAGGTCTATTGGTCAAGCAGGTATTGACCACAGGATGTAGATCGGTAGGTCTAGTCAAGCAGGTATTGACCACAGGATGTAGATCGGTAGGTCTAGTCAAGCAGGTATTGACCACAGGATGTAGACAGATAGGTCTGTTGGTCAAGCAGGTATTGACCACAGGATGTAGACAGGTAGGTCTAGTCAAGCAGATATTGACCACAGGATGTAGACAGATAGGTATGTTGGTCAAGCAGTCATTGACCACAGGATGTAGACAGGTAGGTCTTGTCAAGCAGGTATCAACATGTCTTTTAATATCTTTTAAAATCACTGGTCAATGCGATCAATAAATCGCCCTGAACGTGTACAATGGTAAAAGAAATAGAAACCTGTGAACTCAACAAGGGTTGAACAATTCCAACGCTCCCAATGGTAACAAGCTCCCAAGTGGTTTGATTTATATCCATAAGTATAACAATCTGTCTCACGTGTATAACAATAAGTCTCACATGTATAACAATAAGTCTCACATGTATAACAATAAGTCTCACATGTATAACAATAAGTCTCACATGTATAACAATCTGTTTCACGTGTATAACAATCTGTTTCACGTGTATAACAATCTGTCTCACGTGTATAACAATCTGTTTCACGTGTATAACAATCTGTTTCACGTGTATAACAATCTGTTTCACGTGTATAACAATCTGACTCACATGTATAACAGTCTCACATGTATAACAATCTGTCTCACATGTATAACAATCTGTCTCACATGTATAACAATCTGTCTCACATGTATAACAGTCTGTCTCACGTGTATAACAATCTGACTCACATGTATAACAATGTCTCTGACATAGCCCATACTTACATCATCCGGGGTTAGAAAATGACATGCTATGACGCCAGTTTCCACAACAACTATTTAAAGACACCACATCATTCAGCAGTTAAAAAAACTGTGTATTCTAATTGAAGCCGGCTGACAGAGCTGGATGGCAGGCCCGACATCCAGCATAGACCTCCTTACCGATCCTCTAGCGCATCTACCAGCACGATAATGGAGGAAGGGCGTGTCTCCATCAACGGTCTAATTACCCCCTGCTCAATAAAGAGCTGCTGACTAGAATGTCACTAAAACACAGGGGGGGGGGGGCTGCGACAGATAAGCGGCTCACGACGACCCTACCCCCCCCCCCCCCCCCCCCCCCGGAGGACGAACTGAGTAAATAAATAAAGATGAACCTATTCGGCGCTGTCACTCAATAGCGGGTAAGCCGAGTGATCACGCCAAATGTTCGGCGGCCGCAGACAGGAAATCACGCGCACCACAATGGCGACTGTTGCGAGACAGGCAACTTTATTGGTTTTAATATATCATGAGAATATGTATACATTAGGGGCACTATAAATGATGATAAACATAGACACTTTATTGTCATGGGCTACCATAGATGATGATAAAAGTCCGGTTTTAGTGATATAGGCTGCCATTTACAACTTGTAACAAATATTTTGATGAAAGATTTACTAAATACGTACAGGAGTACTCTGTCAAGGGGCTATCATTTTAAACAGTCCATTTACCCTGCGCCATGCCCCACCCATGTTACTCAATCTATCTATATATATATATCCATAGTATATATATATATATATATATATATATATATATATATATATATATATATATATATATATATATATATATATATATATATATATATATATATATATATATATATATATATATATATATATATACTAGCCGTCCCGGCCAGGCCCTGCTCTGGCTTCTGTGAAAAACCTTTCTGTTAAAGACCATTACCTGTGTGTTTAGTAATCATCATAAACCCGGCATTGCACACCCAAACCAAAACCAAAACAACAAAACGCAAACATGACGCTAACACAATTACAAATACAAACGAAAACAAAAACCTAACAACTAACCCAACCACAACCACAAACACCAATACGAACACAAAGAAAAAAACAAACGAAAAAGCAAACGAAAACAAACCAAATCCAAATGCAAAACCAACCAAAAACCCAAAGAAAAAAACACAAACGAAAAAACAAACGAAAACAAACCAAATACAAACGCAAAACCAACCACAAACACAAATACAAACGCAAACGCAAAGAAAATAAAACACAAACGAAAACGAAAAAAGAAAGAACAAAAACGAACCAAATCAAAACGCAACCACTAACGCAAACCCAACCTAAACACAAAGAAAACACTAACGCGAACATAAACGCACAGTGCTCAGAGTCTAGCCCGAGGCGGAATCGCCTGTTTCAGCTTAATAAACGACTATAGTACCCCAACTTATTCATAGTCTTTTGCACTCACTTTAATGAACGTAGGCGCGAAACCGAACACGGGAGGCCCGGGACCCCAAATAGCACCCTGTCTGGGCGCCAGAGGACGCACCATGACGTCACCGCCTGATTGAACTTAGTAAACGACTATAGTACATAACTTATTCATAGTCTTTTGAACTCACGCGAACGTATATACCATAGCGTGCACCGGAAGGCCCGGGGCGCCAAATAGCACCCTGTCGGGGTGCCGGAGGACGCCCGGATTTGATTCACTTAAAGACTATAGTAACCTTTCTTACCCATAGTCTATCGCACTGTTAAAAACAAAACTATGCAGCATAGCGCTCACATGATAGCCCAGGGTGCCAAATCGAACCGTGCAAGGGCGCCGGCGGACGCGCCTGTTTCAATTTAGTGAACAAAAATGATAATACTCCAAGCTTATCCGTAAATGGAAAGAAATAAACATATAGGATTTGTAGGACCTGGCTTATTAAATGTTATTGATTTAAAAAAAAAATATTGAACAGTATGTTCAGTGTATAGAATAAATAAAAGGCAGTGTTAAAAATACCTAACGACATTGCACTTAATCAATCCCCGCTAATTATGTAATTATTTTTTTTTTCTTAACACCAAAAACAAAGTAATAAAATGTAAATTCTTTCTTCTTAAGAATTTTTTTTATTAAAGGGAAGTAACTGTGCAGTCAATACATTTCCGACACAATTTTAGAAATTTTGTAAACGTCGATACACTTTTTAAAAATTTTATGTCGCGTTCATAATTGAAAATTATTCTTCTAAGTAAATAGAATGAAAATTGTTTTTAAAGACTTTCAATGGTAATTTTTTGACTCGTACATTTAGACTATGAGCACGATAAAAAATCTAACACTTAAATCCATAGAATTGTCAACGACAAACTTTTTTGCCACACGTTACAGAACTGAGCTTTATATATTAGATATATATATATGAAGCGACGAATGGTCCCGTGCGAGAGCGGAGGGTGAGTACTGTCTAAAGGTTCTAGACGATTAGCCAGCCCACAGGTAATACCTTTACCGGAGTTGATCAGTGCTGATGTAACGATCTAGCACGGCAGCGCGCGCATTGCGTCACAGACCGTAATGACGTTGGAGCTCCTGCGATCCCCGCGTCGTTGGCTGTGGCGGTATTGACCGACCCACGGGATCAATGCATCGGGGGGTGGGGGTGGGGGGCACACGGAGGTAGGAGAAGATATTAGCTGTCAGAATAGTCCATTGCATTACGTGTGCATAGAAGTGTATATGTCTATATATATATATATATATATATATATATATATATATATATATATATATATATATATATATATATATATATATATATATATATATATATATATATATATATATATATATATACCTTTACTTCAAAAAAAAACAATCTATAAACCTATGTGTGTGATTAACATATACACGCTAAAAAGATGGCGTAAAAAAAATGAAATAGTTTAGAGTTTAGAGGGTTCTACTGACTAGCCTTTATAGGTATCTGCTATCTGCAAACATGGCCGCCACAAAGGGAGGAAATAAGACGAAATGAAAGAGCCGGGATGAAATACAACTAATGATATAAAGATACACAATTTAATACCGTCGCATTTAATGCTCTTATCTGTGCTCATGAGACGGGTATTTTTATCAATCCAACGTATGGCGTGGGTACCGGGGGGGGGGGGGGGCTGTGGGAGTTATGAAAGAAAATCCTATTTGAGCCTCTCACTGTAACCGATTTAAGCGGGAGAAAAAAGATTTATCTGAGGGAAATGTCAGCCGGTGTTAGCGAGTCAACAGCTCCCTGCTCGGTAGCAGGACACGAGGACTGCTCGGTAGCAGGACACGAGGACTGCTCGGTAGCAGGACACGAGGCCTGCTCGGTAGCAGGACACGAGGCCTGCTCGGTAGCAGGACACGAGGCCTGCTCGGTAGCAGGACACGAGGACTGCTCGGTAGCAGGACACGAGGCCTGCTCGGTAGCAGGACACGAGGCCTGCTCGGTAGCAGGACACGAGGACTGCTCGGTAGCAGGACACGAGGACTGCTCGGTAGCAGGACACGAGGACTGCTGCTACAGCCGGGACACGAGGGCTGCTACAGCCGGGACAAGAGGACTGCTACAGCCGGGACACGAGGGCTGCTCGAGGTCTCCAAGAATTGAGTACCATTATTCCCTTGCCAGGACAGGACGAGTAGACCCGACTAGCGGAGACAACGTTTTATTGTGGCCGTGTAGGTCTGCGCGTGATGACAGCCGGAGACCTGCTTCATTGTATCCGTGTAGGTCTGGTAGGTGATAAACTGGGAATGGTCTGTACAGTCTATGACGTAACCTTCTACACGGAAAAGGAGGGTCGGTGAATGGCACCTGACTGACGTCACAGCCCGTGATGCCAAGATCGCCCCACGCTGCGTCATATCAGGCCGGCGCGGGAGGGCGAGCACACAGCGCCCTGATTAGTGCGGCGAACGTGTGTTTTAAATGGGAGTTTGTTAGGGAACTTTTTTTTTTAAATCTTCATTTATCTAGGGCTGCTTCGACGTGGGCAAATGTTTGGGAAATAGTAGATTGTTACATCCGGCTGTCGGCTCGCACAGGGGGCGATGGCTAATATATGCACACATAGAGGTACATGGGAATAACAAGAATGTTCCGTTCTAATGGTCACTCAACCTATTCTGGTGGTCACTCAACCTATTCTGATGGTCACTCAACCTATTCTGATGGTCACTCAACCTATTCTGGTGGTCACTCAACCTATTCTGGTGGTCACTCAACCTATTCTGGTGGTCACTCAACCTATTCTGATGGTCACTCAACCTATTCTGGTGGTCACTCAACCTATTCTGGTGGTCACTCAACCTATTCTGATGGTCACTCAACCTATTCTGGTGGTCACTCAACCTATTCTGGTGATCACTCAACCTATTCTAATGGTCACTCAACCTATTCTGGTGGTCACTCAACCTATTCTAATGGTCACTCAACCTATTCTGGTGGTCACTCAACCTATTCTGGTGGTCACTCAACCTATTATGGTGGTCACTCAACCTATTCTAATGGTCACTCAACCTATTCTGGTGGTCACTCAACCTATTCTATTGGTCACTCAACCTATTTGAAGGTCACTCAACCTATTTGATGGTCACTAAACCTATTCTGGTGGTCACTCAACCTATTTGATGGTCACTCAACCTATTCTAATGGTCACTCAACCTATTCTAATGGTCACTCAACCTATTCTGGTGGTCACTCAACCTATTTGATGGTCACTCAACCTATTTGATGGTCACTCAACAAATTCAGTGTTACATTTTATCACAGTCTATGGATATACCTGCGGTTATTTACTTGCATTGCGCCTAATGTGTCCAGGTATACCACAGTGGCCCAACTTTACAGAGACAAGAGGACATGCCTAGGTGGCCCAACTTTACAGAGACAAGAGGACATGCCTAGGTGGCCCAACTTTACAGAGACAAGGGGGCATGCCTAGGTGGCCCAACTTTACAGAGACAAGGGGACATGCCTAGGTGGCCCAACTTTACAGGGAAAATTCTTTGTGGGGCCATGTCTGGTCATTATGAAGGGGGGGGGGGGCGAATTGTTCTTGATGTTATTAGGCAATTCGTTTACTTAGGCTATTCAATGTAAAACGGACAATGACGAGTTGTCGACATTTGGCATTGTCCACACCCTCTACCCTAACCCTTTACCCTAACCCTCTACCCTAACCCTCTATACTAACCCTAACCCTCTATACTAACCCTAACCCTCTATGCTAGCCCTATACCCTAACCCGCCACTGTACAAGAAGTTAAAATAATCCAAAACTACCCAGAACATTCGCTTCTCCAGCCCCTAACCCGCTAGTGAAGGAGACAGGAGAGCTAAGCCTAACCCATACTCCCAAGTCTAGCCTATTCGCCGGATACCAAACATGACTACCTAGCCCATACTCCCCAGCCTATTCGCCGGATACCAAACATGACAACCTAGCCCATACTCCCCAGTCTATTCGCCGGATACCAAACATGACAACCTAGCCCATACTCCCCAGTCTATTCGCCGGATACCAAACATGACTACCTAGCCCATACTCCCCAGTCTATTCGCCGGATACCAAACATGACAACCTAACCCATACTCCCCAGTCTATTCGCCGGATACCAAACATGACAACCTAGCCCATACTCCCCAGTCTATTCGCCGGATACCAAACATGACAACCTAACCCATACTCCCCAGTCTATTCGCCGGATACCAAACATGACAACCTAGCCCATACTCCCCAGTCTATTCGCCGGATACCAAACATGACAACCTAACCCATACTCCCCAGTCTATTCGCCGGATACCAAACATGACAACCTAACCCATACTCCCCAGTCTATTCGCCGGATACCAAACATGACAACCTAACCCATACTCCCCAGTCTATTCGCCGGATACCAAACATGACAACCTAACCCATACTCCCCAGTCTATTCGCCGGATACCAAACATGACAACATAACCCATACTCCCCAGTCTATTCGCCGGATACCAAACATGACAACCTAACCCATACTCCCCAGTCTATTCGCCGGATACCAAACATGACAACCTAGCCCATACTCCCCAGTCTATTCGCCGGATACCAAACATGACAACCTAACCCATACTCCCCAGTCTATTCGCCGGATACCAAACATGACAACCTAACCCATACTCCCCAGTCTATTCGCCGGATACCAAACATGACAACCTAACCCATACTCCCCAGTCTATTCGCCGGATACCAAACATGACAACCTAACCCATACTCCCCAGTCTATTCGCCGGATACCAAACATGACAACATAACCCATACTCCCCAGTCTATTCGCCGGATACCAAACATGACAACCTAACCCATACTCCCCAGTCTATTCGCCGGATACCAAACATGACAACCTAGCCCATACTCCCCAGTCTATTCGCCGGATACCAAACATGACAACCTAACCCATACTCCCCAGTCTATTCGCCGGATACCAAACATGACAACCTAACCCATACTCCCCAGTCTATTCGCCGGATACCAAACATGACAACCTAACCCATACTCCCCAGTCTATTCGCCGGATACCAAACATGACAACCTAACCCATACTCCCCAGTCTATTCGCCGGATACCAAACATGACAACCTAACCCATACTCCCCAGTCTATTCGCCGGATACCAAACATGACAACCTAACCCATACTCCCCAGTCTATTCGCCGGATACCAAACATGACAACATAACCCATACTCCCCAGTCTATTCGCCGGATACCAAACATGACAACCTAACCCATACTCCCCAGTCTATTCGCCGGATACCAAACATGACAACCTAGCCCATACTCCCCAGTCTATTCGCCGGATACCAAACATGACAACCTAACCCATACTCCCCAGTCTATTCGCCGGATACCAAACATGACAACCTAACCCATACTCCCCAGTCTATTCGCCGGATACCAAACATGACTACCTAACCCATACTCCCCAGCCTATTCGCCGGATACCAAACATGACAACCTAACCCATACTCCCCAGTCTATTCGCCGGATACCAAACATGACAACCTAGCCCATACTCCCCAGTCTATTCGCCGGATACCAAACATGACAACCTAACCCATACTCCCCAGTCTATTCGCCGGATACCAAACATGACAACCTAACCCATACTCCCCAGTCTATTCGCCGGATACCAAACATGACAACCTAACCCATACTCCCCAGTCTATTCGCCGGATACCAAACATGACAACCTAACCCATACTCCCCAGCCTATTCGCCGGATACCAAACATGACAACCTAACCCATACTCCCCAGTCTATTCGCCGGATACCAAACATGACCGCCAACATGCACAGTCTTCACCCGGTGGATCTAATTTATCCTGAGCTCTACACCCACTAAATAATGATCCACTGCAATCAACCCCGCTGGGCTCCCCCCCCCCCCTTAAAACAAACGACACGAACATTCAACAACGACAAAGGTCACGGCCGTTGCTCCAGCACGGAGCGGGATAACTCCAGGCGCCTGTGTAACCGCAATTAGGGCAGCTCAATCTGCCGCCATCAGTGGCCCGTGTCTCGGGTTGCCTGACAATATTTACTCCAGACTGACAAAAAATCAGGTGTTCCATATCAATTGGGAGATCATTCAGGGTACTCACGCGCACACAACACGATTTTAGACACGCACACAAACTAATTGTATTTATAGACTGTAACTATAAAAAAAAGGCAACGCGTTTTATTTTTGTTTGATGAAGAACGCGAATATGTGTTCGATACTTGCAGATAGTATCTTTGTCTCTCTACAGCCCAGCACAGATAGTATCTTTGTCTCTCTAGAGCCCAGCACAGATATTATCTTTGTCTCTCTAGAGCCCAGCACAGATATTTTTGTCTCTCTACAGCCCAGCACAGATAGTATCTTTGTCTCTCTAGAGCCCAGGACAGATATTTTCATATCTCTAGAGAACAGATCTCCGTGTGTGATCTTTACAGTTCGGCGATGTGGGTGGAAAATGCAGTGCGGTCTAAAATTTCGGCGATGTGGGTGGAAAATGTAGTGCGGTCTAAAATTTCGGCGATGTGAATGGAAAATGTGGTGCGGTCTAAAATTTCGGCGATGTGGGTGGAAAATGTGGTGCGGTCTAACATTTCGGCGATGTGGGTGGAAAATGTGGTGCGGTCTAACATTTCGGCGATGTAAGTCAACATCTAATGATGCTACCCATATAAGTCAACATCTAATGATGTTACCCATATAAGTCAACATCTAATGATGTTACCCATGTAAGTCAACATCTAATGATGTTACCCATGTAAGTCAACATCTAATGATGTTACCCATGTAATTCAACATCTAATGATGTTACCCATGTAAGTCAACATCTAATGATGTTACCTATGTAAGTCAACATCTAATGATGTTACCCATGGAAGTCAACATCTAATGATGTTACTCATGTAAGTCAACATCTAATGATGTTACCCATGTAAGTCAACATCTAATGATGTTACCCATATAAGTCAACATCTAAGCACACAGGTTGACATCTGATTTATGTTAATTTTAGCTACTAATTTTTTCCTGAAGCAGCACAATAAGGACAAGAATCAACAAAAGCACTTACAGACCAAAAAGCAGAGTTTTTTAAAAAGCAAATCTCACTCAAACAAAACAAAATCAAACCCCTAGTTATTATCTCCCTCCAACAGGGAGGATTATTTCAACGTTTTTCAAAATGCAAATGGCAACATCTTTAAAAGATAAAATATTGAAATTCAAGAACAAGATTTTTCAACATGTCAAAACTGATTTGGCATAAGATAACACTATTTTTTGTTTTGTTTTTATTTTCTGCATACTTGAAAAGGTTCAGCAAATATCTTTTTTAATCACAGACAGCAAAGACACATCATTCAGAAAATAAAGAACATCTTAGACACATCATTCAGAAAACAAAGAACATCATTTTAGACACATCAGACTGACAAACACTGTATCATAGATGCCAACACCAAATAAACGTAAGCCTAGACTGGACTATAATTACACAAGAGCATATAAATATAAGTACTTTACTTGTCTACTGTAGACACTGGCAGAATTATAGAATGCACAATGCATTCACACCATTTATTCAAATTACTTCCCCTACATTAACTACATACAGATGTGCTGCTGAGTCAGCACATTTATTTAAATTACTTCCCTTACATATAAATAATTGTGGCCTAAAACAAGCCCTTTCTGTGCTTTGTTAAATTACTTCCCCTACATAGAAGTAAATGTAAATGGGTGGTCAGCACAATTTATTTTATGCTTAAGTCTTATGTAAATTACTTCCCTTGCATATAAAAAAATAATATTTAATTAAATTATATCCCATGCAAATAAACAACTGAGTGGTCAGTTTACCCAGAATTGTGTCAGCTGTAGCTGACTAAAGTCAGAGACAACTTAAAGATACCAATCTATTACTTTTAGGCTCGTAATTATTACAAACAGTAGGTATTCTCTTGGGTTGATTAATAAATAAGTTTGTTAGGGCTCGTCTTTGTAACCAAAATTAAATCTATTATAACAGCAGTTTAATTAAGATCAGACCGGCCCAACCACCAATATTTGCCATACCAAATAATTTGCTAATCTATTTATTAAGTCCATCAAAACATTTTTAAAATGGAAGATACAGTGTAGCACATACAGCTGTTACTAATCTTTATCGTTGTTATTATGTACAGTTTGCATTGTAGCTTAAATTTTAGCTGTAACAATATAATAAAGGATTGAATCAAAAATTGCAAAAATGTAAAGTAAGTTATGTTGCACCATAGAGCCATCTCTAGAAGGGTACTTAAATTCAATTTTTAGTATAGTAGTAAGTAGTACTATATTTGTATCACTAGTACTTAGAGGTTTTTT